GCGACCAGAAGAAGGATGAAAGGTTTTATGAGAAATAGTGAGTGACTATTTAGTTCTCAACTGACAGCTCCCTGTTTTTGTATTAGTGAAATCACCAATATGATCCAGTTTATCCTACTTTTAAAAGCCACAATGCACGTATAAACTTATATCACAATGGATATGTTTAGGTTAGGTACTTTTGAAAAGTCGCTAATGATGGTCGATATTTCATTACTTCGGGAGTTCTAATAGAATATCTTTAAAAATTGGAGATATTTATCTCACGCAAACGAATCTGATCTATTATATACTCTTCAAAAAAAGTAGGGGATATTGAAATGCAAATACCTATGCAGGTTGTGATATGATAAATAGTCACGGACATTTGACATGCTTTGAGAGTATGTTCACAGATGAAGAACTTATCGCCCCAACAGAAACACTGAGCTGCACATGCGACACGCAATAGGGGTTCATTGTCAAATTTGACACTTCAAGGAAGGGTTGATGAAAACTGCCGCGTGCTGGTTTATCCTATCCATGTTTGCTTTCCTATCGGTTCTTGCATAAGATTTACTGTTTAGCCTAACTTTGCTTTAGTGTGTTACGTTGAATTTGATCGGTAAATGTGTTCGTCGACGTCAACGTCAACCGACAGTACTCAAAGAATCGGCCGTGGCACTGCAAGAGGAGTGGGTCAGATTGCCCCAAATCCCGATTGGACGATTGATTAGGAGCATGCCACGACGAATTGCTGAATGTCTGAGGATTGGTGGAGCAATTACTCATTATTAAGACAAAAATCAAAAACGTCCATTTTCACCTTTGCGAGTAAAATGGGGCCGTCAGATAAGCCACCCATATGAACTGTTTATGTTCATGTGTAGGCAATTGGCCTGTTATTAACATACACTGGTTACCCCTAATAAAAACATCAGTGCATTTCCGCAGTTTTGCATTGTTTCTGAATATCCCCTAATTTTTCTGAAGAGCATATATGAAAGGATATGACGATGCTTTAAAGTGCTGTGCTGCGAATTATTTTCAGCTAGATCTGTCCCAAATTCTGTTGTTTCGATTCAACGATTGTAAGCCATAGCCGATAGGTCAGCGCTAGCTCGCTACCCTGGAGATCCGGGGTTCGATACCGGTGTTGGCCGACAATGTTCTCCGAGATTTTCCAGTGTGATTTCCTCTTGTCTGTGGTACAGGACGGAGGGTCTGGCAAGGACATCGCCTAGTCGCTCCGATGGGACGAAAACCCGAGGGCCCGTGTACACATTGGTGTGCACGTAAAAGAATCCTTGACAGAAGGAATTATATATAAGAGTAGGCCATAGAGCCGCCTTTCGGACAAGATTTCCTTCACAGCCCATTGTATGGTGTATTCCGTGCAACTCTCATTAGCCCAGTCGGTGGAGAGAAGTAGGGCGTTAAACCCCATTTCATTTGTGTGTTCTCCAATATGTTATAATTAAGAAGAGACCTCTCCGCACAAGTTAATTACTGTAGTAAGGAATGGCCATGTGATAACCTCATAATAACCAAATTATGGTCATTTCCTTTCTCTGAAATATGATACTGACATTTTACTTTTTTATCATTTCGTCGCATGGACGCCAGTTCTTATTTATTAACAATCTGAATCTTCTTTAATAAAAACAAAATCCATAAACTGGAATATATTTTATTTAGTTAAAGAAACACAAACCCAAAACAGACAATATTGCGAGGAATCATAATTATTATACGCCCAAATTGAAATGTGGTCGTATATTGTCGTGGTCCCCGTCCTCCGTTCCGCCCGTCCGTCCGTCGGTCGTGGACGCTCTACAGGCTAAACTTAATATCCGATTAACTTTAAACATATGCCCAATAATTACTGCCAGAGTTATGATCCTTGACCACTTTGAAAAATCTTGTTGAAGCTATAGGGCCTACTAAAGTTAATATCTGATTGACTTTAATTTATACACAGTGTTTAAGGTCACGAGGCGAAGGATCCTCATTTTCAACAATTTCCGATAATTACTGCCAGATTTATGACCCTTGATCACTTTGAAAAATTTTGTGGATACTCTAGAGGCTAAAGTTAATTGTTCAAAGTCATGAGACAAACAATCGAAACAAATTCTAATGATTTCTGATAATTACTTAATGGGTTATCACTCGTAATAAGATTTTCATGTGTTGTAAACGTTCTCCTTAATGACAAAAAAAAAATATGCAACAACCTTTGCTGACTGCCCGGACGACATAGCTGCTGTGGGCGTATGTTTCATTGTCTGGCAACCTATCTTATGTGCATATTGATTTGTCACAATAAAAAGGAAAAACTATTGGAATCTGAGTAAAGTTTGAATTGAAGCTTAGTATCATAATATAATACTTTTTAGTCGTTTCATTTTATATGGTATGATTAAAGGGTTATAGAAACTTTTTAGAATAGAATTTTATTGCATCGCAACGTCCTTTGGGGACAGCAAACAATATACAAAGTATTAAATACAAGTACAAAAATATAAACGGGTATAAATTCAGAGCACTCATATAAATAGACAATAGAAAACTTGCATACATGATACATATAAGAAAGTGCGAAACAAAACGTACTAAAACGTACCAATATCTTACAATAATATCGTGGAACAGATGACAAAACAGAAATAGTGATCGTATTTCACCAGACCTTTGACACACATTGTGAAAAATAGGTGGAGTAATATATCTCCTTGACTGACCATTATCAACTTTTATTTCTTTTAATCTCCTGATGCCAACCTACATCCCATGACCTACAATCAAACCATAACCCCCATTATTTTTCAAAACACTGGCATGCATTGCACATGGTCCACACGCGCAAGCCATGGTCTCTTGGCCAAAGATTCTATCAGTTTTATGCCTTGCTCGAATTCTTGGAAAGCATTAAACATCTTAACGGAATCCATTAAAGTAATGCCATCAATTATAGGTCTCGACCCCCGTATTTGTTTTACCGCAAGGGTAACTGCACTGAGATAATGTATCTTATTAATATATCTCTTTTCGCTAAACTGACTCACTTGGAAACCTCTTCACAGGTTGTAAACCATGAAAAAAGTATGGAGTTCCGTCAATGACAAAATAAAAACCTACTTGACCAAGGTCTTTCTCCTTCATAAGAATGATGAGAATGAAATCACAATTGAAAGTGATAACATATTATTTGATATAAGGGATATTAGAACTGTCGAAAGATGGCTTTCTAATTTCTGGCTATAAAGAGACATATGTATAGAAATAAATAATTCAACAACAATTGAACTGTCTAAAAAAATCCAGTAGTTTGGGCTATCTTTTTAAATTTTTGTTCTTTTTTGTTGCATTTCCTAAATGTTTGATTTATTTGTTTGGCAACAGTTAAAATAAAAAATCAAATCAAATTCGCAAATGCATTTAAAATGAACAAGTGAAAAATCATTAGAGTTGTGCATAGAAGTTCTGGAGCCGTGTCGGCTCAGTGAGCAAGACTTTGGCTCGCTAACCTGGAGATCCCGTGTTTGATCCCTGCTTTGACCGAGAAAGTTCAGGAATGAAGGTCTGGCAATTGGCAAAGTTCAACGAATAGTGGTTCTAATGGCACGGAAACCCGGGGTCCCATACGTACACATTGGCTTGCACGTAAAATTAGTAGGCTGTAAGTCTGTCCGGGCTAGATTTCCCCCATAGCACACTGCATAACATATTCCCGTTTTCATACATCAATCACATTTCATTTGATTTACATAGAAGTTTACATCAGCAATATTGTGGAGTCTAGACATTCAACATATCAAGACGTTTTCAAAACGAAAAAAGGTCGTTAAACCCAGAGATAAGGTTACATAGTCATTATATCTTGTCGTGTCAAAGAGATATTTTTTCCTGACTTGCCGAGCAATTAAAATGAAATATCATTTTTTTTAGACTTTCTAAAACGTCCACGGAATACATTCCTTTCTAGGACTTGGTGAGATAAAGAACACATTGTTTTAATTAAAATAGTTTAACATCTGCGAAGAATTGTTTTCAAGAAAAAAAAAAAAAAAAATCCAAACATTTGCTAAAGTTTCCGTTGTTGCTACGACACAGAAGCTCAAATAGTCAGTTAGGCAAAACTACCCGATAAACCCAGTTTGCTTAAATTAACAGCTGACGTTGCTGGACTGCTGTTTTTTGTAAATAAACTAGAGCACGGTTAAATTCCATGGGAATAATGTACTTTAGAAACCGCACATCAGCTCTTTTTACAAACTACTTTAGCAGAAAACATTTCTTTAACAATGTCACGAACACTTCAAAATAATCTAAACACAGTCAAAGTAATTTATTATCTCACCATGCTGGATATATGTCTGAGAAGACAACCTCCCTTGAAAAAATGCTGATCCCAATAATAAAATCTCAATAATAATAATACAAAAAATAAAATAAATGATTTGCGGCAATTGAACCATTTTTCTAAATACAGTCTTATTTGGTTTCCACTAATGCACTGGAAATGAATTTTTTGATATTCTAAATAATTGGACGGACTAATTACGGCATTTATATATGACAAAATATAAATTTCTTCGAAATAAAGACAACAAAATGTATAAAATGAAGAGTTTGATATGTTTTTAATTGATAAATGTCAAGTATGAAATGTCTCTGCACATTAGAAATATAAATTGGCTAAAAGGTCTTATAATGAAAGGGTTTAAGTTTAATATTTGTATTGAATAAAAGCTCTTTCTTTTAAAATATATTTCTGGTGTCTATTGAACACGTTATTTTAGCCGTTAAAATATGATATTATAATAATTTCTAGTGTATAGATGTTCGGGTATATAGTGAGCTATACAGTATAGAGTTACACCACGTTATGGTTGCTGCCTTCAACACACGTCTTCAGGCTGAAGCACCAAGGAACGGGCTCTGAGAATAGTATCGCTTCCAAGCTTGCGATTGGCTCCTTTTTTGCATGGGGTATATTAAAACAGCCTGATATTGAAATGAGCTTTGGTCGCAGTCCTAGAAGACTGCACGCATTTTGTAACTAGACTAGGAAATCTTGTGTCGGGAGAGTATACACTCTTCTACGCACGGGTTACCCTAGGAAAAAGAGCTAGGTAGCCGAAAAACGGCACCGGCCAACAGGAATTGATCAATATATAAATCCGTGAATGTTGTGAGAGGTCCGATTCGGCCTCAAGAAAATAAGTGGGGAGGCATGGCGTCTGTAACAAGATGTTTACAAGGTGTGCTGTCATTATGCTTATTAATAGTTACCGTTCATTCAGCCCCAAAGGAAAAGGAGGTTGCTGAATCCGAAATAGGTATGTGTTATAAATATTTACCTTTATTAATAATAATTATTATTTATTATATTGATAACCATTACAGTCACCATTCAACAATTTCGTTTCATAAAATGGAAACGGGCTAAAAAAGCAAGTTCTGTCTAGCGAACGGATTGATCACATGTATGTAATATATTTGCATATTTTCAAATGTATACATTATGCATATATATTGATAAACTTAGATAATTTTATTTTTAATTAAACTTATTATATATTTTTTTCAATGATGTATTGCCGTTATTTTAATAAAAAATAGTATTTTAACTTATGGAAATTCGTTTACAGAATTGTGAATGTGCTTAAAATAACGGGACAATTTTGTTTCAGTTAATGCCATGCATTGAAACGAAACTACTCTCTTTTGAGTTTATTTCTCAAATTATTTAGAATCATACAAATTTTGCAATGTTGACACGTTGTGAGATGTTTCTTATTGTCACGTGATCTCATTAATATAGGTCATCTCGGGTCATCCAATATGGCCGAATATACCAGCCTGCAAAGTTCATTATGCCACGTCTGAGAAACCTGCGTCAGCAGTTTAACACGATGACCGAGTTTACAAATAAATTCAAACATTGAATGAAAAAAAATAATTAAATAATAATTCTTTCTTTTGAAGTTATGTAATTTTTTAAATCTTGTTACCTTCTGTCTTTTTGTTTAACATTTATTTTTCTTAATTTTAAACAATTCCTACATCAAGTGATTGATCGATTGTAATTCAATATTATGCAACAGTTTAACTGTTGCATCGGGTAATTAATTTTTTTTCAATATTAAAGTCTTATATTACACGATATTGATTATTTATTGAACTATTTAAATTAGGTATGTAATATTGCTAGACCGATGGATTGATCGATTTGATTAATAGACTGCATTGTTTTACCTTTTTCATTGATAAACGGAATTTCAGGTGACTTCTGTTGATCAATACACAGAATTCCAAGTGACTTGTTTTGATCAATACTCAGAATTTCCAGTGACTTTTTTGATCGATACACATATAATTTCAAATAACTTCTTCGATCCATACACAGAATTTCAAGACTTAAAGTTGACATTGATTTTCCTGCATTCATCGTTCGGTTCGATTGACATATTAGAGTGATGGACTGAAATTCAGTGATTAATTTGGTTTTAAAGGGCCGACTGGGTTTACTTTTAAATAGACACATGGAAAGGGTAGGGTGGCATTGTGGAAAACTGGAGATGGATTGCGCAAAGTAATTGATCAACAAAAAACACCGCACGTGGGTGGCTGGGGGAAGCTTTATACCGGTCATGTATCAGTCGCTGACAGTACCAGATAATGTTGATTATCATAAGGGTGGACATGCCTGATTTTACCTGAAATTCGTTACTTCGTGACCTTGACCCATATCTGAACACACCCATTTGAAAAAGAAATATCCGAATCATTACTTATATTGAATTTATTTATGTGCATGTATAAGGGCACCTTGTGTTTATAACTGAAATGCTTGTGTTGACCACGAAGTGTATTAAATAGTTGTTTTAACAAATCGTTGACGAATGCAGTACGTTATATCATAGTTACAGTTGTTCTGAGAACCATTCAGATTACAATAATACCTTCATTCAACACTGGCTATTCACGGATTGTGGGTCAAAGATTTCCATTGTATACTGGGTGGATGCAGTGTGTGCTGAGTGAGGTATAATACCATGAAATATAGAATTAATAATACCATGTATATCATGAAATATAGAATATAAGCCGAGTAATATCAGTAATACCATGAAATATAGAATGGGTAATATCGTACCATGAGAGAGAGACGTGTGGTTTACCGTCCACTCGACTTACATAAATATGGCAAATTTGACCTCTCTCTATCTCTCTCTCTCTCTCTCTCTCTCTCTCTGTAAAAGGGTTACCAGATTATTTTAATTGATTTCACACACTCTAGTTGTTGATTACAGAGTACGCTATGAACATATTACATGTTGTATTTAAAATGTTTGAGAAGTTTTATTACTTATCAGCGATGGCAAAAACAGTCGTTACGACACACCCAAAATAATCATCATCATTAAAGTCTTGTGTTTTAATAGACATTTCATTCCATAATTCAAACGTCAAGTCAATATTAGGGCATCGTTATACCAATTACACGTAATAGAAGCACCAAAACAGGTTACTTTTTGTATTCTACCGTAATTTCGCTATGAAAATTTTGCATGAATAAAACATTTGACATAATTTATATACTATATTCATCTAATTGTTATGTGATAGGGATAGCATCCCGCCATTTTAAATTCAAAATAGGTCTTTTGACCGTAACTCCCATATTATTTTATTTGATAATGGCCCATACGTATAGATTGTAATAATTTTCTAGTCCTCAAAGATTAAATTAGAAATAGTTTATCTGCATTGTTATTGTCATCGCACAGGAAGTACCACGTGTGCATATTTTATAGGATGTCATGGTAACCTGTTTTAAGGGTGTGTTATATAACAGAAATGGAATTAAATCTGCAATATATGTAATTGTGTATAGTGCATTTATTGATAAATTATATCGTATAAAATTAAACATCGAAACTGTTGTCATAATAATGAACATTATGTCTATTATATACGTATCAATTTGAAATATGACTGCAGCAATAGTTCAAGACATAACTAGATATTAGAAATTCTGATTCTTGGAATCAGATAATAGATGGATAATGAAATATTTAATTTCGATAATAACAGGTATATTAATCTAACTAAGGCATTCCTATCTGTGTACATGTACAATTATAAAAATGTATTCGTGGATACATCACGGCATTACCGCGGAATGCCATTGCCATTTCACACATGCAACCCGTTATACTGGGACACTCAAATAGCTTTATCAATTCAGTATGCATAAATGTTTTAGTAAAATGCAGGTTGACATTTAACAAACATATTTGCAGTGACACAGTTTATAGCAATGGGTCAAATTTGTGATCCCAAGGAAAAGCTTATTTTATTTAAAAAGTCAGAGTACAGTCCCGTGTTCTTATATTATAGGCATAGTAAATTATTGCCAAATATGGGAGGGGTTATAAGCCAATACGTCATATCAAAATGATTGACAGTTCTGACAGCTTCACCATTCTCGACTTCCTTTTCCAATTGAAATCATATGCAATTGCGGCATAGGACAATCTAAATAAGGAACTAATGAAACCCTTTTACGTGTGTTGCCTAGGACAACGAATTAAACAAAGAATCTGTATGGGACACATATGCCAGTTATAAATGGGTTCCATTAAATAGCATTCTACTGTTTAAAGAATGAAAGGAAATAACATAATTACCTACATATGCGGAAATAAATCGTTTCGAATATGAGAAGCAAGAATTTTGTGACCTGAAGAGTTATGTTAATGTCACTCACATTAGGGTTTAGTGTGCATATACATAAAATCACACCGCTATAAATAGCATAATTAATGGAAATTGAATGGGGGTTTCGGGGAAGGGGGGACGGCCAATTATAAATTAGAAGACCACCACCTCCTGTAGCACTATGCATAGAGCTATGAGCCGCGGTTAGATGTGGAAATCCCCACATCTAACGTGTGACGCATACTCTCTTCTACACTATTTTAATAGCCTTGTGATCGTCTAGTATTTGTAATTCTCTTCTTTGGATTTCTTTTCACGTTTTGTATTTCATTCTTACTATCTCAGTAATTTCTGCATTGTTAGATGACTTAATTCAAAATATTTAATTTAAAAATTAAGAACTTTTAATTAGTTTTTCATTGGTTTTTTGTGTTGTCTTTTCTTATACTGTTACCATAATGATGTGTATAAAACCTCAAACCACGTGCTTGACGGATTGTTTATGGTTTATTATTGTTTACATTTTGAATTGTAAACTATATGGGGCCACCAAAATCTTCCAAGTGCTTAGGATCTCTATAGTTCTTAATTCACACCTGATTTTGGGCGATTGGAAAAACTGAAACTGGTCTTTGTCCATTCCTTGGTGCAGTGGTCAAGATGCCTCAGCTATACAAATGGTTGGTTGTTTTAATAGATTGAATAGTTTTAATTATTATATCAATTTCTATCAATTTCAGCGTGTACCTTTAATGGAGAAAAGTATTTAGATGAAGATGTATGGAACCCCGATCCTAACAATACTTGTTGGGAATGTATTTGTTTGAAAGGGGAAGTATCTTGTGCTTTCAAAAAAAACTGTGAAATTGAGTATGGTAGGTGATTGTTTAAATCAGTGATATTAAGAGACGGTTTGCCAATCGGCATTTCTCGATAAATTACAGTAAATTTAATGTATACGCGGACATTTGGCGGCAGAACAATCATCGTTACGGCATAAGTTAACCGTAAAAGTCGGCGATGTTATTTAAGCCACTCATTAGGGTAAATAAACTTAACGCTCTATAGAGTTTGTTCGAAATAAGTTAGATATCGATCCTCTATTGAAGTAAAACAAATCTATACGCATTTACTGATCACATCTGCTGTATACGTAGACAGATTCATTTTTATAGTCCGGTAGTCTAGTCAATATGGATCATTTGCTATAATACGGACAACTTTGTCTAGACTACCCGGCCATGTGGATAGAGAATCCAATTGAAGATCAGCAAAGGATCGAATTTTAAAGAATTAAAATACTTTAATATTTAATAGTCTCACGAAGTGACCTTTTAATTCTTGATTGTTCATGGCCCTAACTGAATTATCGTAAAATTCCTCTAACAAATATGTTTGGAGACAACCTTTGACGGGGTGGGTATTTTAACCCTATTTCAAATCTAGTCTGATTTTGAAAGTTTCTAATTTAAAATTCATAGTTCATCTACTGTCGTCAATATTTCCAAATAGATAATGATACTGATTTCAACTATTAAAATTACCACTGAATCAAGATTAAAATGAAAATGTTATAGAAAAAGTACCTAATTTGTATTTATATTTTTTGCAGCTTCTGCTACCAACAGAGATGCTGTAAGTATTATATTGTCATTATTTTTTGTATTGGGTCTGACGCTTTAATGATTTTACGCCCATTAGTTTACCACAGAATAAGTAATATTATTGCGCAAGATATTAAAAATGAAATAAATCAATAATTTATGTTTTTTTACAGGCACTTCACGCCGCTTTGTCTACTGTCCAAGTAAGTATTTATAATGTAAAGCTTAATAATATAAGTATTAATAAGACTCATTAATTGCAGTATAAACTGTCAATATTGTGGAAATATATACAAAGCTCTGTAAAAATTTTAACTTATATACACTCACTCGAATAAAAAGGATGGAACACAGTTTTTTTTAAAGATTACTTAAATTTATTTTAAAAACTATAACTCTCCCCCAAAACATTTTATGTTGTTGGATTAAGTCATGTAGTGGCCATGTCTGATAATTGTAAATAACTTTGACAACCCATTAATGAGGGCAGGATATGCGGTGGCATAGGCACCAGGCGACTAGGATTTAATTTGGATATGGCGCAAATGCCAACTCCGTAAATAGACCAACGTTATCTCAAATTCACATAAGAGAGGCAAGGTTTTTTTGTTTACAGTATCATAAACTATTTATTATTTTAATTTCAGGGCCCCAGCGGAAGCGTTGGATTTGCCGGTGTTTCTGGTAGAATTGGACAAATGGTAAAATTTTAAATTTGTTGATCTTAATCCATATGTTGTTACTTAAGTTTCACTCCCAGTTTAGAAATGAAATGAAATGAAATGGGGTTTAACGTCCCATTTGTTCTGCTCCGACTGTGCTAATGAAGACGGGCCCCCAGTTTAGTGTTGACAGGCTAAATGCTATTTAGACTGAACTTAGTTTCAAATGATAGTTTATTATATAAATATCAATAGAACATTGCCAATCGCCTTGTCGTCGTGATCAACCGACTTTATGATGTTCTAAATTGTAGCCAGGTATTAGTTACAAATATTGCTTCCCTGATTTAAAGCTTGACTAATTATTAAGCAGCTAGAAAGGAATTCAGAAAAGAATGTCATAACAGCCCTTATGAAATAGAAAGCCGCGGTGGCTTAGTGGTTCGATACCGATGTTGGTACAGGAAGCTCTACGCATTGTTTTCCACATGTCAGTGAAAGAGGGCCCGAAAAACCGAGACGGCGTAAGGACAAATATAAAAGCTGGAATTCGATGAAGAAAAGGCAGAAACGCCACTGTACGGGAAATCCCCCCGACCCGTCCCGTCCCGTCCCCATATCACACTGAAGTTGTTGTTGTTAGTTAGTTGTATTTTACGTCCGCTTCCACCGAGGTGATATCGCAGACATCACACTGAAGGGCGTATGCTCGTTTTTATAACACCCCGCTTAGTGCAGAGAAGTAGGACATTAAACGTCATTTCATTAAGTAGTTGTGGTGCAATTTATAGTTCGCCGTTAGGGAGGTAATGTACACGCCCCTGGAATATTTTAATTCATCAGAATTTGTTTTAATTATGAGGTGTACTGTGGCATATAATTCAGTAAACAAAGGCAAGGCGGCCACAATATGCTTGCCAGCTGTTCACCTCTATAATACCACCAAGTTCTCTGCGATGAGCTCCTTAACTTAAAGGAGCATTATTAAAGATTTTTTCATCCACCAAATTCTCACCCGAAGGAATAATTTTAACCACATTTTAAGAGTTATGTGATCATAGCCAAGCATTAGTCATTAAAAATTTAAAATATTTGCCATATGCAACACAAATTCATTGAATAAGCTTGAGTAAATGCATGTATAGTATATAAGAAAATCTTGTATGAATTAAATAAAATATTCTTGTTTCTAGGGCGACACAGGAAAAGATGGTGTCAGTGGAATTCCAGGACCACCAGGATCTCCAGGTCAAAGTGAAATGGTAAGTGGCATATTTTATTTCTGAACAAAAATCCAAAGATAATAGAATATACAAAATAATATTTCACGCATTTTGGAGATGCTGATTCCAATCAAATAGTGTATATGAAAACCATTACACTTTCCAACGTGTGCAATGTTACATTCTTAAATGCGTTTTACTATATTTACCTGTTCCATGCTAGGTAGGGGCATTTGCCATTGACTATTGTACTTGCGCCTTTTCTTCTTTGGATCCCATCTGTCCAGGATTCGTTAAGGTGTGTGGACAATTTGAACTACATACTAGACAACACTTTCTTTCTAAGTTGCCAAGTGAAAATCGGGCGTGCGGCATTCCAAAGTTTCTTGTTACCCCACACCACCATTCGAACTAAGGACCTTCGAATCATGAATATGGCACCGTGATTGGTCAGCCCTCCCTTCAATTACAAACCATAACCACAACATACCATAACCACAACGTTTATTGTTTTTTGATATTGTTATAATTTCCTAAATAGTACTTGAACATTGCAGTATGTTATTTGATATCTATGTATATTGATAGTGAACATAAGATCGTATAATTTGTTGTGAAGCTATGAGAAGACACGCATGAGATCTATCCTTTAACAGCTAAGACCATTTTGATAACGTGACCAAATTTAAGCTGATTTATAAGATAACCAAATATAAACAGATTTATAACATCAAATTTAAGCAGATATATAAGATATCCATTATTGAAACAGATATGTTCAAAAACTCTTTTAATGAATTTTATATTATCAAAGACCCTTTCTCTAACAACTTCCTATTTTTAGACTTCGTCATATTTAATGTAAATAATAGAAACTGGTTGGTGGGTATATATATATATATATATATATATATATATATATACATGTATATATATAGAGAGAGAGAGTTAAAGTCCCTGTGGGTTCGTCTGGTGCCAGTATATACATAAATACATTCCTCTAGCGACCATGAACTACTAACATAGCTTGTAAAAAAACACTTGACTCAACGTCGACAACGTCGACTTGAATTTATCAAATATCTGACCCTCTGCTTTCGTTTTGCTCTCACTCGTCCAGATGTATATACTGTGCTCAAACCTCTCCGTACCATGGCTCTATTTTACAATTTCTTCTACTGTCATCAGTTATTGGTAATTTTTTTATTGATGTGTATTATTTGTATTTTTGCCCAGTCAGCAGATCAGGCATACAATATGTACTTTGCTAGAAACTTTGGTGATAAAGCCGGAGCTGCTCAATACCCTGGACCTCAGTATTTACAAGCACAAGTAGTAAGTATTAGCTATTTTATTTTATCTTTTTAATCATTTTTTTATTGACCAAATATATTTTTCTTTACCAATTTAACATCACATTTACTTAGTTTATATGGCATATTGATTGTGTTGAATCGAAAGGTCCATAAACGGTCAATGTACAAATATTGAAAAACGGACATAATATATGAAAAATGTTGTAGGTTAATTGCTCTTGTGTCTATTGTATGTTTAACTAATTTTGAAAACCTGACATGCATTATTTGAATTGTATAATGGGTTTGTACTATATTCATTATGCATAATTTCTTAAACAATGGTAAGCCAAATGCTGAATAATTTCAAAATGCTGATCTACGGCGTGTATGTAATTCACTTAATCCACGGCATATGGTAGTTATGAAGTTAGCGACTAGGAAAAAATAACAGCACATATGTAACAGTTTTGTGTTGGTAGCCCATTGTCAAACCAAACACGGAAACGACATGTCTGCCTTCCCCATTCTTAACCACGTGTCACTATAACAACAAACAGTCTCATTATTTCATAGTTTTTATGTTACATTATTTTCTAAATATAAAAACATCAAAGTCTAACAGTGTTAAAACACACATTTTCTGACCCGAAAGACTGCGATCAGCATTTAATCCATTTCACTATTTTATACCTGAGCTTAGAAAATGATGGTTCAATATAACAATGGAGAATCTAAGAAATGAAAAATATCCCCCTATTTTTTACAGTTTGTGTGCAGTATTTAGTCAGTCATAAACAGTCAGTGTGCAGTGTTTAGTCAGTTATATAAAGATCTATGCAGTATTTACCCAATTATATAAAGACGTATGCAGAATTCAATCAGTAAAATAAAAGCATATTCATTGTTCTGTCAGTTAAATAAAAGAATTATGCACTGTTCAGTCAGTTACATACACTTTTATGCATTAGTCAGCAATAGTTTAACTACTTTGTTTGATCGACGGCAATAAACGATTCTACGTCATTTTCTCAAGTGTCATGTGCTTTGGTTTATTTTGTACATTTGTCCACCAGATTGTGAAGATAAGCTTCTGTATAATGAATGTTCTCTGTTTAAAGTATGATGAAAGAATTTCCGGTGGGGAAAGTATCAGCTGATTTTGATGTGCTCTTTACTTTATATTAATATTAGAAAATATTTTTCAGGGACCCATGGGACCTCGTGGACCTCCCGGACCCCCAGGAACACCCGTAAGTAACACTTTTGTTTTCACAAGATTCTTGAAATTATTTTGGAAATTGTTAAGTATTATTTTTAAAATCTGATTGATTATTCTTCGACTTTATGTTGGTAATGGCTATAACAGTTAACACAGTAAAGCAAGGAATCCACATTTTTTGTATTTTGCATATTAATGTATGGGCTGTAATTGCATTTTGTATATCAATATATGGGTTGTAATTATATTTTGTATATAAGTGTATGCGTTGTAATTGTATTTTGTACATCAATGTACGGGTTGTAATTGATTTTTTAAATTTTTTTAAGGGACCTCAAGGACCCCAAGGATTACGTGGTGAACATGGCGACCCTGGTCCACCAGTATGTATAAAGATTTATTTTCTTATACAAGACCACTATTTCAAATAGATGTCAAATACAAGTTTCAGTTGAAAGATAAATAACATTATCCAGAGTTTGATTATTGATCGAATATGATTAGTTCAAAGGGAAGCTTTCACTACTTGTTTCTCTTAATGCTATACGTAGTCTTTAAATATATGCACTATAAAATCAAATAATACCATGTGTTCACGGTATTTGACCTTTCACGACTTTTTCGTTCTAAATACTCCAAAGAAATTCATAAACAAAGAAACCACTGCCAGGTTTAGACTTATCGCAATTTTAATTAGGGGCTTTTAATCATTTGCATAATTTTGGAGAAAAATCGGCCAGAAGCTTAAATAAAGTTTATTCGTATTTCCAGGGAAACCCAGGAACACGAGGAGAAAATGGACCACCTGGACCACCAGGTAGTCAAGGAGAGACTGGACGACACGGAGAAGATGGTTCGCCTGGACCCGCTGGACCCAGAGGTCCACCTGGTGCTGCTGGTATGCCTGGTATGCCCGGATCACAAGGACACAAGGTAAGACAACAATGTCCTCTTTAAAGGAGCTAAATCGCTAATATTTGGGATTTAGAAATTGACACAAATGGGCCGCAACGCATATACTAATGTAATGTAATATGAATGTATATAAACTGATTTACATTCATTCGTTTCTTTTTTACTCTCATTTCAAATCAATTATGTTCGGTGAAATACGCTAGAAGTCTCAATCGAATGGCAATCTCTAGCGTCTGGTTATTCCAGTCTACACCGAGGTATTTATTGCACATGCTCTCCAGATACGAATATGGTGTCATCAAAGACACTGAATGTTACAAATGGCACTGGTAAAATGTTTGGTCCTAAATATTGGATATCAGTAGCCCATCTTTTCCCCGGTAAGATCACAACATCAGTGTTCATTTAAATTGACTAATAATTCGTGTTTTCGATGTCTAAGACTTTGGATGATATTGGGTTAGAGACTTAGTACTTTAAGTAAGCGTTATTCAGCATCTTTGGAATCTGGCATAGTTACATATAACATACAATGTAACCTCTTTCAATTACGCAGGCTTGCATAGTATTCATCCTGGTATTTTTCTTGTAGGGATTCCGTGGATTCAGAGGAAAACGTGGAGAACAAGGTCTTTCTGGAGAAACTGTGAGTATGAACAATCAAACAATAAAAACCTCTATCGTCAGACTTTTTTTTTAGGTGTGCATTGTTCTTTCTTTCAAGAAAAGACTGGCATTATATATGTATATCCCTATATTGAGAACTAAGATTTAGAAAACAACATTAGCTCCCTTAAGGTAATGCAAACACATTTTGAGGTAATATTGTTTTAAAATATTGTCTTCTGGTTTGATATATAGACACAAGAATTTATTGTTTTATTTGTTATATGTTTTCAGGGACCCGTTGGATCGCCTGGAGCCCCTGGACCCTCAGGACCACAAGGCCCACGTGGTCCCCCCGGAGGACGAGGACAAGACGGTTTACCTGGTGCACAGGTAAGCAATGTTATACTTTTTGATTACCTCTAAAAGTCAATTACCTGTAAGCCAGGATCTACTATATGTTCTTAACTGATGTATGTGAAATGATAACTATCGTAGACACAGTTGATTTAAAAACTTTTTTGACGTTTGTTACAGGGTTTGAGTGGAGTTGATGGTTTGGCTGGTCAACCTGGTCCTAGTGGATCTGTTGGTCAACCTGGCCCACCTGGAGTTCCAGGACAACCTGGTTTAAAGGTGAGTTGTTTTCATCGGTATATAACCAAATGGTATAAAAATAATTTACTTTTACCAAAGTACACAGAAAATATATATTTTCAACGTCTGTAATTACACCGTTCTCATCTTGTTCTGTGGTTTAATAATATTCATTAAATCTTCCAGGGTGAAGCTGGTTCTGCTGGACCCAAAGGAGGTTACGGACCCCAAGGTCCTCGTGGTGAAAGTGGTATTCCTGGACCCGATGGTGATGTTGGTGCCCCTGGTCAACCTGGTATGTCAGGAGCTGATGGAGATAAAGGAGCTACTGTAAGTATTGTCCTTATTGCCATCTGTCAAAACAGTTGATAAACCATTTTCTTTCATGCTATAAGGTTGTGTAGGCTACATACACGTTTTTTAGCAGCAGGTAATCCAAACCAGCACGAGTAAAAAAACTTCAGAATGGCTGCATATAATCTAGATCATAAAATACGTATTGTGTGTTGCGCTATGAATGTATTATTACTTATGTTATATCATTATATCTATTCTAAATATTGTTGTTTTAGGGAGACCCCGGTGCTGCTGGTGCCCCTGGATTCCCCGGACCACGTGGACCTCCAGGTCTTTCTGGAAGCCAAGGTAACAATGGTCCAAAAGGAGCAGTGGTAAGTTATTCTATTTTGTCTGCGATATCACTTCACTGGAAGTGGACGTTAAATAAAGCTATTTCACACACACACACGTTATTCTATTTCGCATTCTTAAATTTTCCCAAATTCGAGATTTTATTGTTGGACGATTATATATAATAATGAAAGCCCTCTATTATTTCACACACACACACACACACGTTATTCTATTTCGCATTCTTAAATTTTCCCAAATTCGAGATTTTATTGATGTACGATTATATATATAATAATGAAAGCCCTCTATTGTTTTTGGATAAACTATTCTGTTGGTTGTACATTTTAGGGAGAGTCTGGACAACCCGGTTACAAGGGAGAACAGGGAACCAAAGGTATTCCTGGATCACCTGGCGATAGAGGTCGACCTGGTCCCCCAGGACCTCAAGGAAATAGAGTAAGTTTTAAACTTTGCAATTTCATAACTTTTGATATCTTAAATTCAATTATAAAAAAGTTTATATTCTGAGAGTTTCAGAAATGTATGAAAGTAGCTAAATCACTAACATTTTGGGGACTAGAAATTGACACAAATGGGTTGCAACGCATATACTAATGTAATACTAGTATGAAAGTATATAAACTGATTTACATTTACTCTTATATCAAATCAGTAATGTTCGGGGAATTTCGCCAGAAGTCTCAATCGAATGGCAACCTCTGTGTCTGGTTATTCCAGTCTACACCGATAGTATTTATTGTGCATGCTCTCCAGATAAGAATATGACGTCACCGTTTGACATGACTTGTGGAATAAGTCTAACCTCGTTCTTCGAGTCCCTTGTTACAAATGGCGCTAAAAGCATTATGGTATACGATTCGTGTACCAATGGTAAAATGTTTATTTTGTCTTAAATGTTGGATATCAGAATCCCATCTTTTTCTGGTAAAATCACAACGTCGATGTTGATTTAAATTGACAAATAATTCGTGTTTTCAATGTCGAAGACTTTGGATGATATTGAGTTAGAGACTTAGCTACTTTAAGTATGTATCTTTAGGTTTTGCTTGCTGTTTTGGTTTTAAAACAATAATATTTTATATTTAGGTATTTATATATTTGATATGATTGTAGGGTGAACGTGGTTCTCAAGGTGCTGCTGGACCTGTTGGTCTAGAAGGAGAACGTGTAAGTATTGGTAATTCACTTAAAGCAACTTTGATACTGAAAAATACAGCCTAGCTCGTTATTTATTAGAATGTTATATTAGAACTAGAAGAAGAAGCAGTAAGATATCCTTGAAAGGCATTCACTTGTGAAGGCATTATATATATATATATAATACAGACAACTTCATGGATATCATTCGCTAAGTTTATTAACTGCAATGTTTCAATGAGGTATCAAGCAATGGTACAAACATATTACAGATAAGTTAGGATTAAGCTGAAAAAAGATGGTGTCTATTGTTTGATATGATTCTGTTTCTTACTCTAGGGTTTGAGTGGTGCTCGAGGTATTCCTGGTTCTCCAGGATCCCCAGGTACCAAAGGAGAAGATGGCGCAGCTGGTCTAAGAGGATCTCGAGGTGAATCTGGTTCTATGGTAAGTTGAACTTAATTCTATAAAATTTTAATTTTTATCCAAATTAATGGTGCATTAATATACATGTATTCACCAATGCTAATTTTTACAAGGTAACATTCGGCTAGTTTTAACACATTTGACTAAAGCAGATTATTTCTTTTTTATTGTCATGCCTACTTATTTTTTAATTTTTTAGGGTGAAGCTGGTCGTATCGGCCCACCCGGTCCCCGTGGTGAAGCTGTAAGTATTTTCATTTCATATCATTTTCTCATTCATGTCATATTCAAGACATGAGTTTTCTTTGTGGTGAATGATATCAGATTATGTGTATATATTTAAACAGAGATGACTTAGTATTAAGTATTTGTTTCAACGCTGTGTCATCTTTGATTTGGAACCACTTAATAAGAACACCAATAACATAATTACTTTAGGATTTAGTTTACAATGAAAACGATTGTTGATCAACAATTTGGAAGCTATACTTTAATGTAAAATAATTTTCTATTTAGGGTGCCCCAGGACAACCTGGTCCCGATGGAAAATCAGGATCTCCCGGTCCTTCTGTAAGTATATTAAACATATCATTTGTTTCATTCAGATAAATTTAGATAATCAATTAAAGCAAAATTTAAAAAGTTAACATGCCACGCATTTAATAAATTTGACTTTGGTCTAATTAATGCAAATTATATGTCAATGGACTTAATATTGGTGATATTAATTTTAATTAACAGGGTCCACCCGGTAATGATGGTCGACCTGGTGAAATGGGTCCCCCTGGTCAATCCGGTCCTCCTGGTGCCCAAGGTCCCCAAGGAGCTGCTGGCGAAAGAGTAAGTACATTTTATAAAACTATTGTTTGTATAATTAATAGATATCTCTCGCTTACTTTGGATACTAAGAATCATGATGGTTTCGCTGTTGATACATTATCAAATCAAGTGGTTAATACCTTCGTTACTTACAGGGAAATCAAGGAAAGAGTGGAAGTCCTGGTATCCAAGGAGAATCCGGACCCCCCGGTGACACTGGTGCTACTGGAGAGATGGGACCCCAAGGTGCCCCTGGACCCGAGGTAAGTTATCATTTCGATCGCTATATTTATATTTGTCATATTTTACAAATTTTTATATCTATTTTCAAAAAATATACAAAATATATAACAGATTGATATTTGTATAATTTCTTAGTTAATTTTAAGATATTACTTCTTTAATAGTATGTTATCTGCTTGTATTTTTCTAGGGATCTATGGGAGAACGTGGAGCTGCCGGTAACGATGGTCCACCAGGATTCCAGGTAAATTTACAGTATCATTATCGATATTGATTGATCAGAATAGTGTATCAATATCTACAATTGATACCTGAACTATTTTTAAAAAAAATTATATTTAAGGACATAACCCATTTTCTCTTAGGTAATAACAAAGGGTTCATTCACATAAACGGTTCTAAATTATTCAAAGCAACTTAACCAGTTAGTTTTATCTATTTATTATTAATAGATAATAGATAATCAACAAAAGAATAAGAAATATTTCCGTGACAGCTACCCCGGCTATTATTTTGTTACGGTTGATAAAGGGATAAAATATATGGTAATACGATTTTTGTTGTAGGGACCTCCTGGATTACCTGGTAACCCTGGTGAAGCTGGTACTGATGGTGAGCCTGGTATTCCAGGACCACCTGGTGCATCTGGCAAAGCTGGATACAGAGTAAGTACTATATTATGTCTTAATGAAATGACTAATCTGTATTGATATGTTTTAGAGTGTCACGAATTATATCTTTAATAAGATATACGTTTGTCAATATAAAGAACATTTGGAATAATGTTTGTAAAAACTTCATTAGTATTCTTGGAAACATATTTGAATTAAAGAGAAACTAGTAGTTATTTTTACACTTTTCTACGCTTCTCAATGTACGTTTATCTTTTCAGGGTGAACGTGGCTTCCCAGGACCTCGAGGTGAACCTGGTGCTGAAGGAGAATCTGGTAATGCTGGTAGTGATGGTCCACCTGGACCTGATGGTGAACGAGTAAGCATTTCTTTCTTGGTTATCTTATTCGATATTTGAGAATGCTTTAATTTGAAACTTTTTTATGTTATTTAGATCCAGTTACCATTTTATTTCATGTGATCTTTATTATTTTCTTTTATAGGGAGCTCCTGGTGAGAAGGGTATCAAGGGAGAAATGGGACCACAAGGACCTATTGTGAGTATTGTTATTTATTCTAAGCTACATCAATTATCTGTATTTATGCTTTATGTAAATGTACTTTTCTTGAATTTCATTATTTTAAACCGTGCATGGTATCGATGGACTTGTGGATTATAGGAACATCTTTATACTTCAGGGACCCCAAGGAGGACGTGGACCTACTGGACCCCCTGGAACTAGTGGCGATAGTGTAAGTATTTTGATACACTTATTTAATGCTAGTCTTAATAAAAAAATATAGATATTTGTTTCGTTTTGATCTAACATATCCGGGGCAACGTCCGACAGGGTTTGCATTATGCACGTGATTTTATTGAGTTTGTATGTAGATCAGCGGACGATGTCTTGGCGTGATTGGAACTGCTGCCATTTCAGTGATTGTTTACAATGTATTGATAAAACTGGTCAGGTGTTTAGTAAAACTAAGCCCGGTTAAGTAAACTTGAGTCCAGTTTAGTAATATTGAGGCTCTGTTTTCGCCATTAGACAAATCAAGTCAATGGAATGGTAGTGTAAATGTTTAAAAAAATGAAAATACAACATACAGTTAATAATATTGTTCTTAAACCTTCAATTTATTTTGTATTTCTCATTATTTCAAAGGGTGAATCTGGTGCCCCCGGAGCTGATGGTTCTCCTGGACGACCTGGAACCCCAGGTGCACGTGGTCCTCTTGGACCCCCTGGCTTAGCTGGACCCCCTGCTGCTAAAGGATCTGCTGGTGATCCCGGTCCTCCGGGAGAGAATGGGCCTCCTGGATCAGGTGGAGAACGTGGTGTTGCTGGTCCCCAAGGAGAACAAGGATACCCCGGTTTACCTGTAAGTTATTTCTGGATCGTTTGAAAACTTGCTTCAATAAATAGGTATGTGTAGCACTATACAATGCTATGCGTCGCTAGTTAGATATGGAGAGACGGGTCACGCATACTCTCTTCTACCACATATTTTAATGGCCTTGAGATCATCTAGTATTATCTCTGGTTATATTTGTTTCTTAATCTCTTCTTTGGACTCAGCCGTTAAGACGCTTATCTACCAGGAAAAACAATGGATACATAGGTTACAAGCTTGGGTTACATTATAATTCTTAAAATTAACATGTCTTTCTCTCCACCCCCTAATTTACAGATTGACGTTACTGACAGAACACACTACATCATATGGCTCTCCTACAACCCAATAGTGTCTACTCAATCCAGATGGTGTCTCTTGAACCTCAGCGGCATCTCTCTCTCAATGCATGTCTCCTCCCTAAGAATTTAGCGGCTGTCTGCTGATTGCCCAGAACTCTGATAGTTATCTAACCTTGGGTTTCGGATTTCAATTATATGACGTAATTAGTTATAATCATTGTTTACTAAGCCAAATGATGCAATGGTAATTGTCCCCCGCCTTTCGAAGAAAGCAGGGGAATGTTAAAATGAGTCTGTCCGTCTGTCTGTCTGTCCGTCACACTTTTTGGGACACAATAGCTCTGCTTCTAATTGAGGTAGAATATTCAAACTTGGTGTAGGTGTTTATTAGGCGAATACCTTGACGGAGTTCGAAGATAAACATTTTCTGCTTAGCGTAAGCAGAGATCAGCAATTTGATTGGTTGATGCTTTGGGACATGATAACTTTAGTTCTAATTCAGCGAGAGTGGTGAAACTTGGCGTATAGTTTCTTTACATCAATACCTTGATTAAGTTCGATAATGAGCATTTTCTGCTTAGACGAAGCGATGAGCAGTTTGATTGGTCAAGACTTTGGAACATAACAACTCTGCTTTTAAATGGAGGTAGAATGTTTAAACTTGATGTAGATGTTCATTAGGTGAATGTCTTGACTGAGTTCAATGATTAACATTTCAAGCTAAAGCTAAGCCGAGCTAAGCAATTTCATTGGTCAATGCTTTGGGACAAGATAACTTTGATTCCAACTGATAGAGAGTGATGAAACTTAGCGTATAGTTTCACTACCAGGTACATGTACTTCAAACCTTCACTGAGTATAGATAATCAGTTTGATTGCTCAATACTTTTGAAAAATCATTTAATCAATATGTGTCATCTATTTATTTTGGGATTTCGGCGGGGGACATCAGCCTGTTGGCTTGTTTTCCTACCATTAGTGATAAACATGATATTCCGGTTTCACCTAGAATCGACTATGGTTTGGTTTAATAAATCTTTTTATATGTCAACCCGTCACTCATTTTATTTTAAGTGCCTGACATTTCACTTCTCTACAATACTTGTATGTGAACCCAATAATTAGTTAACGATATAATATTATAATGATATTAATAATTTAAAGATCAACAATTCTATCAACATGTTTGCGTATTTACATGCACTGCTCCACTGTCATTTGAAATCTTTATTTATCAGGGTGCTGCTGGACCTACTGGAAACAAAGGTGAACGAGGTGCCCCAGGTTCCAAGGTAGGTTGAATATAGTAGGTTTATTCACACGTCTTCATCAATTCCACCTAATACATCGATTTATTTTATATAGTTATATATTCAAAAGAACCGTAATTTACTTAAGTCTTGAGAACCCAAAAAGTAATGTGCAGGCATCAATTTAAAAAAATCTGCTAGCCGAGATAATCATTTATATAGATTTTAAGTGTTTGGTGGAAATGTACAGATTTTAACAGTTTAAATGGTGTATACATATTTTAACAGGATAAATGATGTATACAGATGTTACATTTTAATGGTGTATACAGATTTTTACAATGTAAATGTTTGGTTGTATGTTAGTGTTTAATGTTGATATTTTTATTTATGTAGGGAGAGACCGGTAATGCTGGTGCTTCTGGAGAACCCGGATCTCCTGGACCTCAGGTATGTATTTATACTAGAAAATGATGGTCCCAAGCTATGGAATTTCCTCCTGTTATTTAAGTAGATAATAAACTTCCTTGGCCACGAAACAAAAACTGACATAAATTGTACATGCATTATTACACGTGTACATATATTCCATGAATGATTCAAAACTAATTGATTGGTTAAGTAAGACTGATATACTATTTATTATTATCCATTATGCAGGGAGTTCGTGGTATTTCTGGTAGACAGGGAGCTCGTGGTGATGCTGGAGTCGATGGTATTCCCGGAGAACCTGGCAACCCTGGAAGTCTCGGACCACCAGGACGGGCTGGACAGCAAGGATTACCGGGCCCATCCGGTCCACCTGGACGATCTGGCATCAAGGTAAAGTCAAGTACATTTTTATACGCCCATATGGAAATGTGGTCGTATATTGCCGACGATTCTTGTGAACACTCTACAGACTACATTTATCATCTGATTGTTTCGAAATTGATAAATGTTGTTTAAATTAGTGAGATAAAGAAGTCTATTTAATTTCAATCATTTCCTTTAATTTCTTCTGGAGTAATGACCCTTGTTTCACTTTGTTGAACCTTGTGAATGCTCTAATGACAAACTTTATGAAATTCATATGCGTTATTTCAATTAATGAAACAAAGAGGCCTATTGAATTTCAGCAATTTCTGTTAATTACATCTAGAGTTATGGCCTTGTTTTACTTTGTTGAATCTTATGAATGCTCGAACGACAAAAGTCGTCATCCGATCTGTATGAAATTTATATGCATTATTTTATTGGTAAAACGAAAAACGCTGTCGAACAATTTTTGTATATTACTTTCAGAGTAAGGCCCTTGTTTCAGTTTGTAGGACACTGTGAACCCTCAAAGGACGAAAATATTAATCTGATCTGTTTGAAATTGTTTCGTTGCCTGGCAACCTATCTTATATTTTTTTTATGACAATTGATCTGTGTGATTAGATAAACTTTCGCATTACCTTTTAAACAGCAGAATAAATAGAACAATCAACAAACGTATACAGTATATACCATACTAATAGATACACACTGAATATCAAACTAATTTGGTATATTCTAGGGTATTCGAGGAGGAACTGGTTCTCCTGGACAACCAGGAACCAATGGAGCTAGAGGTCAACCTGGACAACCGGGTAACAAGGGTATTCGAGGTGAAGAAGGAGCACCCGTAAGTGTTAACATTATATTCTTGTCGATACATTTTAAAGTTTCTTATGTCTGTTTAATATTAAAATTTGTTTTCTAATTAAGTAACAATAATCACTTTAAAATAGTCGCCATGGACGTTGAGTCCGACATGGTTGTGCTCTGTATCGATAAAATCTATATATGTAGCACTGAATGTGATTGCTTTAATTTGTTGTATTATCTGAATAATTTTGAACTTTTACAGGGATCTGTTGGACCTCCAGGTGCTGCTGGACCATCTGGTGAACGGGGTGAAGCAGGACAACCTGGTGTTGGCGGTGAACGTGGTCCTACTGGTCCTCCTGGTTCAACTGTAAGTATGTCGCCTGAATTTAAACATAGAGTATAGATAATATTCCACTTAGAGTATGCTATCAATGAATAACCAAAGAGAAGTCATAGTGTAAAACCATCAATCTGTAACAGAAAATAATGATTTTTTGCTCAATTATCACAAAAAGAAACATGTTGGTAATTTCAGGGTGCTCGAGGTGAAGCGGGTAGACGAGGTCGAAATGGTCTTCCTGGATCACCAGGTCCTGTCGGTAATCCCGGTAACCCTGGTGCTGTAGGCGAACCTGGTCAATCTGTAAGTGTTTTTTTTCTTTCTTACTAATTGTTTTAAGCCATAAAATTGTTAACCTTTCGAACAAGAGAATCCTTGGAAACACGAATATCCCATATAATTCGCCCTGCACTATTGCATTGTTTAAATTCGTGACGTAGATGACAAAATTATAAATAAAATCAAACAAAATCTTAATTAATTGGATACCGTAATGAATATTTATTATTAGTTCGTTTTTACTTACAGGGTCCACCCGGTAATGATGGTACTCCCGGATCTACTGGACGACCTGGAGAGAAAGGACCTGATGGTGAAGCTGGTCTTGTTGGAGCACCTGGTTTACCAGGTTTACCTGTAAGTTTGCTAATAGTGAAACTGATACACAATCAGCTGTTTTGATGACATTTTATGTGCCAGATACACTGAATAATTTAGTCATTTCACATGTACATTTTAATCTGGTATATTGTAAGGTTGTTCTTGATATATTCGATCTATATAACGATATTTAAGTATATGGCTGAAGTGCTAACATGTAACTGATTTCAGGGCCCAGCTGGTTCATCAGGAGCTACCGGACCAAGTGGAGATACTGGTGTTAGAGTAAGTACATCTTTAGCCATTAATACAGTATTCTTATAAATGCAATAAATTTAATAATTAATTTAGAAATGTAATAAATTTTATCATTAATATATATGTAATAATTTAACAAAAAAATAATCATTCATACGATATTCTTAAAAATGTAATAAATTTAATCATTGATATAATAAGTTTCTTGTTGCTATTAAATTATTCATTTACTCAACTACTTATTATGTTTAAATACAGAGATAAATTGTAAGTTTTCAATTCCATTGTTCTAATTATTTCTTTTGTATATTTCCCATTATAGGGAGAAATCGGACCTGTTGGACGTGCTGGCCGAGCAGGACAACGTGGACCTCCAGTAAGTGATCTTATATTATCACCTAAATAATGTATATTTCTCCATAAAAATAATATTTAGGAATAATATTATATATTACGTTCTACGGTGGATAATCCACGCCTAACAAAAACTTAAATTCCCAAACAAAATAATGTACGTCATGCATTTTATACATATTCTAATGTATAGTTTAATACAATTATGTGTATTACAGGGTGTACAGGGTGCTCAAGGTATCCAAGGAGGAGAAGGAGACGTTGGAAAACAGGTAGGTTATTTACCATTTCTTAAATTAATTATCAATAAAATGATACATTTTCGATATACAAAAATGAATTCTACATTCAGACTGGTTTTAGATTTTAAATACATTCCATATTAGTGGTGAAAAAAATATATACGTCAAATACATTCTCTTAAGGTTTTCAGTTAGTAATAATGATAATAATACATTGTCTGGCTTATACTGAATATAAAATCATTATGATATAGCAGATGATTAATTTACTTTTAGGGAGACAAGGGTGATCCAGGTTTCGCCGGTATGCCCGGTCTTCCAGGACCTCAGGTAGGTTATTGTTACTCTATATGTTTACCCCACATAAATCTATTCTCCATTTTATTATTTCTATCAACAAAAATTGTGCATTGTTTTACAACAGCTTATACTATTTGGGTTAAAAAAAAGTCCTTATTTAGATAACCCACATTAATGGCTGTCAGTCTTCAGTTAACTCCACCATTTTCACTATTAAAATTTTCGGTTGAATCGATTGTTGTTTTCCACAATGAAGATGTCTGAATCATAAAACGTCGTTATTTCTTTTTATAAATTACGCAATTTAAAATTTGTATTGTATTGATTTCTTTAGGGAAGCAATGGTGAGCCAGGTCCACCCGGACCACCAGGACCTCAAGGTAACCGAGTAAGTATACAATATAATATACTATAATATTACCATACGATAATATCTAGTTAATATGAATATATCTTAAACATTTATATTGAATGAAGTTAATTGTGTTTTGTGCTATAAATGGGGTATTTAAGATAATTTCAAGCTTAAAAATTAATCTCGATTGTTTTCTTGTAGGGATCTGAAGGCAAACGAGGTGCTATGGGTATTGATGGTAGTGTTGGTCAAGATGGTCCCACTGGACAACCTGTAAGTAAAGACTCTGAAAATGAAAAGAAAAAATCTCCAAATAAACAAACAAAACCCAATGTTAAAGGGTCAATAATATTTTAACTGTATATTGGTATTCAAAAAAGTAGAGTGAATTTTTAATTTTTCGTAAACTAATCATTAGTTCGTTCATTGTTATTATATTGTAAGATATGTCAGAAATGTTAAAAGAGTTGAAGAAGTTGTGATTTATCATTAGAAATAATCATAAATCTCTGTTTTGAACATTAATATGAACATTTATATTTGATTCAATTTAGGGTCCACGAGGTCCACCCGGAGAAGATGGTCGACGTGTGAGTATTATTTATTGAACCGTGAAAGTTTTTATAACAACCGTTAGATTGATTTCTAGCTGTGTATGGATGATAAAACAGTTTATGGGGGTAGATAAAAAACATATTAATACAAACACACCCTTTAAGATTAGGGTGGGCTATTTCGTGACAACATAATAAAAGAATCACGGAATTCATATCTATTAAGTTAACAACATTTGTAAAAGGTATTTTGAACTGTTTGTTTCAGGGTTCAGTTGGTCCAGGCGGTCCACGTGGTCCACCCGTAAGTATTCAATGCTGGAAACCAATTTTAAAGATTTTATTTATTTTTTAATATATCTAAATATTATTAATTATTGATGTTATTCTCTAAATGCTGAAATGTAATTCTGTTTCTTGCAGTAAAGTAAATATCTAATAAACAATTTACACCAGAATAATACATATATAGGATAGTTTATAACAAGGTTGTTCGCATACATGTCATTTTTATAATTGTACCTTTATTATATTAGGGTCCACCAGGACGAAGTGTCTATTCCAATGCCATTACTGGTTTCTTCCAAGGTGGTGCCAAGGCTGATCCTTATTTGGTAAGATTTGTTTTAACATATGTAAACTAACAAGTGAAAAATGGATAAATCATTCAATTGTAATTCTCAATAAAACGGCAAAAATGGGTTTAAGCGATGTGGCTTTTACAGCCTTGTTCATAACGATGACCTTAAAACATATTTTAAAAATATATTTTAGGCTGATACCAATGGCGATGAAGAAACCAAGAAAGCGCTTGAACTCATGGACAAAGTTAGGGATGAAATCGCCAAACTTGAAACACCAACAGGAGAAAAAGATGCCCCCGCCAAGAGCTGCCGAGATCTCGCCCTAACCCAACCAGCACTTGTTGATGGTGAGTCTTCTGAATTCGCCTAGCTTGGTACCGTCAAAATATTAATAATGGTTATAGAAAAATACACCGACTGATGATTATTGAATATAAAGGAGGTGGATGCAACTTGATGCAGATTGATCTCATAATATTAGATTTGAAATCCCACTGCACCCCAATGTGTAGATGGAACTGTATAAAATAGTATGGAATGATAAACCCGACACAAAGTATCATACTGTTGTTACACATCTTGACACATTAGACAATCCGTATATGTCCTGCGGACTGCTTCTAGTAAAAAGGTAAAACGGGTAATATAGGGACTTTGTTGTGTCGATTAAAATCCCAATTACTATTCCCTTATGTTTTTCTTGTATTTTGTCGATTAGCAACGCATGTCTTTAAATCCAGTTATTCAATAATTATTCATATACTAATCATGTCTGTGTTTTCTCTCTAAAGGTTACTTCTGGGTTGATCCCAATGGTGGTGGAATTGCCGATGCTATTAAAGTTTATTGTAAATTCGAGAGGAACGAGACTTGTGTTCCACCACAAACTGAGACAGTACGTATTGAATTTAATATAAGTGTGACTTATCACTGATTTCAATAATACAAATAAAAAAACTGTATTTGGAGTTCTCAAATCCATAAATATTTTTGTTAGGAAAATCTTATTACTTAAATTTAGATTCTGCTTTCGTTTCGTTTATTCGGTTGCTCACTTAACATCGAAAGACATGTTTTACAGCATCATAATAATACCTTAGGAGGATGATTTATCAACGAGATATCTCGAGAAGTAATGCCTTTCGCGAGATTGTACGGAATTTCGTGATAAATGCAGCGTTTGATTGGAAGGTTGAACTGCGAATTATTGAACACGCCCAACAGAAATCTATTTCGATCGAGATGAAGTGGACTTACCAATCAAAACAATTTAACGAAACGAATTATTGTGCATCAGTTATAAGATGTTTCATTTCAAAATTCCTCAGTTTGTTGTCTATTCCAGTTTGAAAAGAAACAATGGTTCGATAGCTATTTAGGAGAAAGACAATCTTTTGCTGATGTTTCCATGTCATCCATGGCTGAAAAGGAAGGCCTTGAAAGTGGCACTGTAAGTAATCCCCAGGTTTGTGTTATATTATTTTATTACTTTATATAGAGATAGCTTATTGACTTATCAGCTTTTGACTATGTAATTAACAAACTGGAGCTATGAAGTTAAAACTAGCAAATCTCTGTACAAATGTAATAGATAATAATAACGACTGTGTCATAACTAGGCCTATTTGATTTGGGTCAAAAATAGAATTGCCGATTTTACTAAATATATAATATGTTGATTTGTTTGGTGGGATAACAATCTGTGTTTTTTTCAATAAATTATAGGTCGATTGATAAAGTTACCTTTGAGATGTAACCCACTATTAGTGTTCCACTGTCAACACCCGAGACCAAAATTAAGTTTATAAAATAAAGCCGACTTCCACTTGATCAAATATAGAATCCTATAGATGTTGCTTCATGAGATCAACCCAATTCAATTCTCTTTTTTTAGACCCAAATCAAAGAGGTTCATCGCTGCAGCGGCTCAATTAATTCTAATTTTTCTCGCCAATATTGCAATCTTATTAAAAATTTAATCCTGTTTTTGTTGACAACACCCATTGATTCATAACGTATTAACTGGTTTACAGGATAAATTTATAGGTAATATTATTCATTGTAAAAATAATTATGAAGAATAATGTTGCATTTTAGCTAAACAAAAAGTAATTTAGGACACACAGAGGTTCGGTATAACGTTTAGACTGATTGGAATATTACACCTTTTAAAAACAAGCATTGAATAAATTTGACCTTCTGTATTTTCAGTTCCGATATGTTCGACACGACTCTGCTTTCAACTTCTTGAGATTAGACCACAATAAGGCAAGACAAGAAATCACTATTAATTGTAAAAATACTAATGTTGTCTTTGATCAATCCTCTGGTGATTATAATAGCGCCATTGAATTATTGAGCGATGACTATGAAACAATAACATCTAATGGTAAAAAAGCATTTAAATATCGAGTTAGAGAAGATGGTTGTAGAGTAAGTATTATATCTATTATATGCTATTTAATAATATATACACTGACATCCATACTATATACACTGGAAATTAAGACACATGATACATTGCTTGCAGTTAGCAATATATCTGTATAATTTGTAATTATGTCTTATTATGTATTAAACATCCAAAACAGCCCAAATTTCGATGTTGTGAATGGCGTTATTGGTTCCACAAATCAAGATTTTTACGTTTAATGCTGTGAATCAATATTTAAAACAGTAAATCACAATTTTAAAAGATAATAACTAGCAAGAAGGTTCTAATTTAATAAGATTATTAGAAACATGTCTTAATCACAAATAAATATTTTTATGTTTCTAGATAAAAGATGGTTCATGGAGAAAATCTGTGATAGCTGTACAGGTTAAAAATAATCGTATGTCACGATTACCAATTAGGGATATAGGTTTATTTGATGTTGGTGGGGCAGATCAAGAAATTGGTATAGAGCTTGGACCAGTTTGTTTCAGTTGAGGCGTCATTTCTATTCATACACATTAGACAATTATTCTATTCAATTATTTTTCTCACTAGAAAGACTATTTTCCAAATCACTCGACATCATTATTATGTGTTTTTGTTTATATACTATTATGATATGATCTGTCTGAAACAACAACCAAATAAACAATGAATATTATTCTTTAAATAAGATCTTCTCAAGGACCAAATGAGAACAGCGGAAGACCAAGGCGGACATATTTTTTTGTTTTTTTTATATTGCCGAGGAGTCATAAAGCTGGCAACTCGTGAAGTGACTGTGATGTAAACAAAGAGCTCTACTACTGCCATTAACAATTCATACTGTGTTATTAACGCTATCATTCTAGATGAAAATATTTGATTATTTTATTTTGTAAATAAAAGTGATAAATGTCAGCATTTCATTGCTACCTCCGCCAATTATTGTCACAGCAATCCGTCCATCTGCCGGTTTTTACTGAAATGAATAAATAAAAAAATTCCAAAAAATATACTCACTGTGTTGTGTGGGTTCCTTCTGGTGAATGTGGGAAAGGGGAAAACAAGGTGGCTTTCTGGGGTCGGTTCCTATTTGACCAAATGGTTGGGTCGGTACACCACAAATCTTATCTTACTTCATCCATCCTCTGCCATCTTAGGCATATTTTCCAGAACACAGATAGAATTAGAAACAGATATGCATACGAATATCCATTTGTTTATGAATCTGCTGGAAAATGATTCAACAAATTTCAACGCAGATTATCGACAAAAAAACTTGCATATTTTTTTAATAAAAGAATGGCCAACTTAACGTTCACAAGTTAGTATATCGCAAGTGCTTTAAACCTCGTGTCTTACAGACTTGACTCTCTCAAAACCAATAGTCACGATTTAAGATCACTATCAGTGAATTCAAGACAAATTAATTGCCATTTGCCTAACCCACGAGAATCTGGTTCATCTGGCTCTTTTACGTGCACCCCAATGTGTAGAAGACGGGCCCAGGCTTTGTGTCTCATTCGAAGGTCTAGGCGCATCTTAAGTGTCTGTCCCAAAACTCCGGTTCATCCCCAGATACTTTTGTCCCTAGCCACCATAGTACTGAATTGAGAGAGAGAGAGAGAGAGAGAGAGAGAGATGGGGTTTAACGTCCACACGACCCAAACTAGGTCATTTCTGGACTAACACATGATTCAATGTTATTTCAATAATTCGCTTGCGCGTAGGGGTCTTTAGCAGTGGGAAGAAACCGGAGAAAACCCACGAGGTTGGACAGGCGATCCTACTCCTTGTCACGTACAGCCGAGGAATCGAAACCACGCCAGTTGACTCAATTACAAACCTTATGATACAGCGCGCATGTGCTAACCATTCGGCCACCCAAGCCTCCTACTGAATTTGAAGATAAGGATTAAAGAATATCACTTGAGTGAATTGAAAGATCATTTGAAATGCAAGGGGTAATGCTTTTTTTACAGTTCAACGGATACTACTATATCTTGCAAGCACTATACCGTCGTTAATATTCCCTTTAATAAAGTCATGATTTGAAGTTCCAGTTAAATGTCTTCAAGAAAAAATCCTGATTAAAATCATAAAAAAGATAACACCGTTTAAACATTTATAGTATATTCTATAAAAAGATAACATATCAAATAATTTGGTATTGCGTAAAATAAACCAACATTTGTCTGTATAACTACAACATACAACCTATCTTGGAAATACCGGTAGTTATGACCTTCCTTTGAATTACAAGTCATTTCCTAGTCTTTCAATTTCCGTTAAGACTTTATCCATATCAGAGTATTCACAAGCTGGGTTGACGACGATGATTCTGAAGAAGTTGACATGACCTTTCATAGAGAGCGGACAGAAACCTATCATCATACTACCATCCTCTATCATCCTTTGTTTTATAATCGGAGAAACCTAAAATTAATTTCAAATTTTCATTTAAATACTTTTTTTTAATTCCGGGAAAGGTGAGTGGTTGTGAGGTGGGTGGGTGGGTCCTAGATAATCGATTGGTAAGGACACGGTACTCTCGACTAGAATATCCCGGATTACAAACCAAGCCTGGGCCTAGCTAATCCTTGGGATTCCCCCCCCCACCCTGGTTCCCACTTGTAAGGGATGGTGCCGCCTGGGGCTAAAAAGTATAATCTTATCTATTCTTTTGGATTGGACGAAGAATCTAGGTCCAAACATCAACCGTTGGAATTCGATGAACCTTCAGTTGGAAACGCCTCGTGCCGGACAAAATTCTCCTCCCCAGAATTGCATCATATGTTAGTTTCAGAATGACCGCTGTTGAATAGGGCGGTCACTTCTTGCTCAATTTTTAATATTGTACTAATGATGCGCTATTGATTTCTAATATAAATGATCGGTATACATTATGCTACTTACTTTAGCTATCTTGGCCCACCATTCTGGAGTTTCTTCTTGACCACGTAAACTAGGAGGTATATACCAAAAACATATATTGGTACATTGAAACTGAAAAATAAATCACATATTATATACATGAACTATCGGCACTGACGTGAAAACAAGGGAAGACAAACAAGGGTTATTATGAAAAGGACTACATACCAACACCTCACATGAAAAGTTGTATTAGGTGTTCTAGAAAAGGTAAGTATAGCCTACAATACGATTTTGGCAATCGTATTTGCAAATGCTACCAGCACTGTCAACTTTAAAAAAAGCAAACTAATGTACAATAAATATTTGTAGGCTCCTCAAATGAGAAATTGTATCAAACGTTATAGAAATAGTATACATAATCTGCCCCTAAAGAAGACAAAAGACTTTGTGATAACATAATTTGACTGTATAAATGTATTTTACCTCGGGTATAACTAATTTAAATCCATCAGTTTTCCTTAATTTAGTTGCTAAATATCTGTAAAAAAATCATTAAATTATTTCATTGAAGCGATAATATTTGCTTTAGTCTCGTGTGTTATTATGTATTATACAGGAAAATCCGTTTTAAAAAATGATAAAGTTGCATTGAAGCTTTGGAGATGATAGCTAGTCTGTAAAAACATTCATTTTTTTTATTTGCTGTTATTTGACAATAATATTAGATTAGGGGATGTTAAAATTAGAATGTATGCAAAATTTTAGACATTTCGATCGTTTCTTACGTTTCAACACCCAATTTACCAACCATACAAAGATTGGGGTGGTTTTCATGTAGTTTAACGTATGTTGCCCCCCCCCCCCACACACACACACACACCCACACCCACCCAAACACACAAACAAAGAAAAAAAATAGGTCATTTCTTGATTTTTCGATAATTAAGTGAGTCTAAGATTAGCACCCGTATTTGCTCATGATCATTAAGCTAGAAACCTCCTTTGCATAAAAATTAAAAGTGAGTGTAATCATGTTAAATATGACATTATATAAAATTATTTACATTTATTTTCTTGCTGATGCGATATTATCACTTTAAAAGTTTTAGCACAAAGATTAACGCCCGAATCCATTGTCCAGCATAATATAAGCTATATACAAACCGGCTGTGCATAAACATTGCAACTTACTGGGAATTATCAAAAGCTTTTTCAATCCTTTCACTCAACCCACTATCACCTTTTCCTTTCCATAATAACCAGAGTTTAAGAACGTCAGCCTTTCTACCACACTGAACAGTTTTATCGCCTGATAGAAAATAATATTATACAGGTGTAAACATTTTACCCTTAAAATATAAAGTCGGTTAAAATATGTCAAGTATTTTAGCACCCAGCAGCAGGCAAAATACTCTTATATTATTGCACATATTGGTCTAGTTTGCAGGGTCTCCTTCTTAATGAAAGCTTTGTTAGAGATGGCATTGTTGCTCCATGTCAGTCAGAGTGAGAAAATGTAACTTGACGCGAACTTGTTGGTCTCGAATTCATGGATTATATGACATTCAAGTTTTAATCGGGTCATTTTAATTGTTAGCTTGACAATTAACCTAGATAAGCCCTGTATATTTCACTTACCTATATCATAAGAAACATCATAAAATTTATCTGGTTGAAATAAATATTCGGCATATGCTCTGTTGGCCTTCTCCAGTAGACCCTATTATGAAACATAATGGTAATATTAAAAAAAAGGAACAATCATATATTTTGATTATATTGGGTTGAGGGCCTCCATTGACGTCTTCAGAGGATTCAGTTAGTAAGTAATCTCTCGTGGGGCCATTCATAACCGCTTATATTTCTCTACCTACAAAACGGTCGCCGCAGAAACGGGGTTGTGCCTATTGGTGGAATTAAGTGAGCTGGTACCTTGTTCTAAACAAATCATTTAAAATCTCTTTAAACCGACTGTATTGGTTTCCTTAATAAGCTGACCTTCATTATATTTAGTCGCAAATGACTTTTAGGGTATTTAATGCTTTTTTGTGGCAATGTTGCTACTTCTTGACAATTTCTTGCCTGGTTTCTGACTCATTGTAATGGTAACATCCTAACTATCACAGATGATAAAGTATTGGCATTGGTTGCATAACCATTGTACGATAACCTCAATTCGTTCCTTTATTACCTTTTCTTTGACAAATATTCCTGAGCATTGAATATTGGCACCAACCATTTTATGAAGATTCCAAGCAACTGAATCAGCTCTGTAAGCAAATAAATATAGCAAAAATCAAACACGAAGTAAGTCTTTGATGACCATGTTTCAATTTGTCTGGCAGGTCCGCCACCCATGCTAAATTGCTTCCATATATTTCTTCACTGCGTACGCATAGTGTTAAAACAACGACACAACACCCCCATTGATATTATTATCAACAAATACACCCTCTAGCGCTTTTCCTGAAACTTGAAAACAGACAGAAGATTGATCACACCCAAACTTGAATTGGTAAAGACATAATGTTAAGTTTGTTGGGTTTTATAATGGGTATAAACTTGTGAATAAGCTGTTAAAAGTCGTTGACATAAAGATCAAATGGTAATTGCTCAAAAACAATTAATGATACCTAGAAAATATTTTACGAAGTTACTGAAGTCTATCGCATATGCACAAATTACATTTGAGAAACACGTGTTTTAAAACTGAATCTTAAAACAAGCTTCTGCTTTAAAGCCACAATATTCCAGACTAAACGGCAACTATGGTAACTCAGCCCATGCACACTAAGAAACATATGGGTTCGCAATTTATTAAATTTAACCAATTCTAAAGTAAGTGTATTTTCTATAATTTGAAAGAGGTAGTGGAAATCTCACCTCTCAACGCCATCCATAAGATGTTTGTGTTTTGATGACAATAAAACACCGCCTCCCCATGCTGCCTACAACCACAAGTATGACAAAATAATTATTTAGCATGCTAAGCAAAGCGTCTTATCTCATTTTACTTAAACTAAAGAAATTTCTGCATTAATTAGAAGAAGGACGGGTTTTTTCAATTAAATAAATTAGGTTTAATTGGTGGAAATTATTATCTAATAAAACAAGATGAAGCTTTAGCTATGCACAGTTTGCATGACATAGGCCACGAGCCATATATTTTTATGAGAGTACATATTTAGACCACATTTTTAAAATTTATTACTGCAGAAAAGAACTTGGAAACCTGGTAGAAATGATAATGTCTCATAAAGTCACAATGGCCTTATATACTTCCGTTAGGCATGTCCGTTTCTAATCAACATGCACAATTTAACGGGTGAATTGAATATGGTACACATTCTACGAGTTAAATATTTCATCAATAATAGTTTTTTCCTGTAAACGATAATGACAAACAATAAAAAATATCTAAAAAAAAAAACTTTTAATATACAATGCGTCCAGACGTACTTACATCTATATGGAACCACATGTTATGTTTAGAACATGCGTCTGCTATTTCATTTAAAGAGTCATATGACCCTAGAACTGTAGTACCACATGAACCCATAACAAAAAATGGTATATGACCCTAAAATGAAAAGGGATAAAATTAAAATCGCTGCCAGCCAAATGCAGTGAGGTGTATAAGTGGTATGACACAGGATTATTTAAGTGGACTTTAGAATTGTAATCAGCTACGGTAGAAGTCTCAAATCAGCTTCTGATCAACTTATATTAAAAACCTGTAAAAGTAAAACGGAAACGGATCTTTTAATGCACAGCCTATGAAATAGTCTTCCTTTTATTTTACGTATTAGCCTCTGTATAGCGTTTCAATGGATATTCATTCTTATCAACAATTTGTGGTTGTAATTCATCTTTGAAAATTATTCATTTTATTATGCATAATTGTATCATTCAAATATTCAACATTTTTTTCAAAAATTAATATTAGAGAAACGTTGGGATTTGCAGAAAATATTACAATGTGCGAAAATGACATAATCAATAGTTCATTATGAATGGTCATGCTAATAAAGATTACAAAAATAGAAAAGTTGCAATGAAAATCATTCCGGGTTGAGTTAACTAAAAGTGGTGGATTGCCGTGTTCGGAGTGGACGGAACCTTACAGAACCAAGATCAACATCTGAATGGATCCAAGCGTAGGACGCATCTGAGAGTACATATCTATATTTCACATAAATTTTATTCATTTTTAGTCTTACCCACGCCTCAAAACTCCCATTATTAGAACAGTAATAGAATGATTGTCACAAATCTGAACACACGCCGGACGTTAAATGAGGCCGTTGACATTTTTGTTTCCTAGTAAACGACATGCAATGGTCGTTAAAACAGGGTGTTAATACATTATACTTAATGCATTAAAATTCAAAATTTTAAACCTTCTTTTTTGACTCCTCAACTTTGACCTCCAAATCATCAATCAGCATTCTGCCACCATCGTCTGTTTTGATTCTAATGATATTGTCAGTACCAAATCCCAGGTATCCACCGGCTTTTAATAGGGAATAGTGAGCCTATAATATATTGATGGGTGTAATAATGTGACATACCTTATAAATAAATGTCTACAAATTGTTTTCATAAAATTATCGTCAAGAAGAAGTGGGTATTAATTGAGATATGAGGTATTACATGTTCGACTGTATATGATCTAGTGCTCTTTATTTCATTATGTATGGCCCTGTGCCCTATATTTGTGTCTGGTTCAATTTTATTTCAATAATTCTCTTGCGCGCAGGGTTCTTTTGCTGTACGAGGTTGGAAAGGCGACCCCACTCCTTGTCACGTACAACCGGGGAATCGAAGCCACACCAGCTGAATCAATATGACAGACCTTTAGGTACAGCGCTAACCATTGGACCATCCACCCCCCCCCCCCCACGCCCTCTTAGAAAAAGTAATGATAATTTTGCTATATGCTTTGTAAAAAGCTAACACATTTTTCTTGACAGTTTTTGGACATTTGTGTGCATTTTATTTTCTATAATAACAACAGTCTCTTAACACTAAACTAGTATATATTTGGAGGTTTTGAGATATATGAAAACGACCACGCTTGGTTCGTCTATAATATAAATTTCACTTATATTTTCAATGATGTTATTTAAGGCATTCGCATCAAACTTCTAGTTTGAAATTTGAAACTGCTCGAGGTCGTGTTGTTGCCATGCAAATTCGGTCAAACCTGTTATCATTTGACTGCGATGACGCGATATACAAAATAATATATCCGCTCACTTATTATCCTATTTTTTCCATTTCATATTGTTACTGTTTGCTTTATTTGAAAAAAAAATATGTGCTGAAAACCAATTTTAAATTTTGAATTTGAGTAATATGGGTGTAAAAGGAATTGTACGTTACTATTGTATTTTTGAGGTACGCTTCTTGTTTATGTGGAGATTTATATATTGAATGGGTTTTCCAGTTCTCCCCACTACAGTCCTAGTTATATATCAGTCCCAAAATGATCGGTTAGACTCTCTGTGTGTCTCTTTTAAACATACATTATGCAAGACCTAAATCTGCCGATTTCTTTAGGATTGAAATGTTATTTAAATTATTAATTAGACATTAATTAACTTATCCAGACCATAATCAACTCTCGATGTCATCGCTAGCCTGCGATATTTACTGGATTAGAATCCGGTCTGCTGTGCAACGCTCATTGATGATTAATCCAAAATTGGATAATCGAGACTATGTTTTTTTTTTATCGCTAAATTCTCGGTTCAGAGTGGATCAATTTGACTGTAAATTTCAGCAAATTCCCTTTACATTATCCCGGCCATAATGTATCTTTAAGTTAAGTTACAAGTGTGATGTTGTTAGGACAATTTGAGTTAATTACGTCTTTTACTTACTTGATCAGATGTATACAGATCTAAAATAGGTTGATTGTACATCCCTTCTGATTTCATGTTAGGATAACGTTTATACCTAGCTAAGTGGGTAGCCATTAAATTACAAAATGAACCACCTGCAAAAATATACATTTATAACATAATAACCAATAACGTCGTTAATAAAATTCTTGATTACCTAGATTACAAATTGTTTGTAGACATTTTTCTAAATATTTCAAAACAATTATACAATGTTGATGTCAGTAGATTTGGGGAATATAATGAAATTTTTATTTGTTTTATTCTCGATTAGCTTGAAGATTTCTGCTGAAGCAGCTATGAATAGAAAAATGTCTTTTGAGGCATCCGGTGTTACAAAACACGTTTCCGTTCTTTTACTCGTCCACCTGTCATGTTTTTATTGGATTATTTTTTCAACTGTAAAATGTTGTGCAATTAGCAGTAAAATGGCCCCAAAGAACAAATAATTAAATATAAAGAGCCTTATAATTTTTGTATAAACATTATTCCGGGCAATGACAAGCATTTAATGCATCCTATACTGACATTCTGTGTATGTCTAATGGGAAATCTCAGATGTGTTATTTGAGCCTTAATATAAAATAGGAAAATTATCATCATTATTAAGATATAGGTCTGTACATACCGGAACCAAATACACCGTCACCATTTTCATAGCCAATCAAACTACAAATTTTCTGTACACAATATTGTTCTAATAAAACAAACACTGGCGCTACTTCAAACGTATGACTACAATAGAGTATAAGTAAGAGAATTATAGGGGAAAATAAATAGAGTTTAAGCCGAGCAGCAACCCAATTCTTTCTGGACAGGTTAAAAAGTTCACAGCAAGTGTTATATATAGAATTTCTGTTTCTTAAAGCCCCCACCACAACCCCTCCCTCAAATAGGTAGATGACAAAAAGTTTTAGTGCTATCAGGTAAATTTCTTAGTGGTTCTCCTGACATTATTGTTTCGGCAAGCTAACTGCGAGATTATTGCCAGAATCCAATCGAAACTTCCCAGTCTTCAATCTAATCCACGATTACCGTAACAATAAGTAAAGGTATAAGTAATGGTAACGTACATGTTAGTATTAAGAGCATCAGTTATCCATGAACCAGCTAAACTATACGGTTCTATACCAGAATATAATTGATTGTAAAACTGAACACTACCTGAAATACAAATACCATGTTAAATATGTTTGGAATATACGTCGTAGTTATTCAAATTTGAGTACGGCAACTTCAATGTAATAACATACGGTACATAATACTAAGGAGTAATCATGTACAAAAATCTATAACTTCGAGGAATATCTCGATACAATTTACTGTTGGTCTTAAACGAATCTTACAAATTGGTGAAACAGATCACCCTGTACCGCGTGTTTTGTACATGAGTAAACATGCACAACAAGACACACACTGCTTTTGCTATTAGCCTACAAGTTGGAAATTTGTCATTATAAAACATCATAAATTTTAAACAAAGATGACTTAAATCGCTTCTACTGTTCAATGATAGAGATGTTGGTCGAAAGAAGGTTGTAGATAGAAATATAACTGTATGGGTGCAGTGGTTGCTAGAATTCTAACTGTAGTTAACGGATCATCTACGTACACGATCAATTGGTGCCATCCGAAAAACTGGATAAATGGACCTTGTCATGCACGCCATTGAGAACCGTCCCTGCAAACGCGAATTTTTTAAACTTTATAAAGTATTTCCAGCTCGGAACACGTAATAAAATAAGCCAAAGTAACGCGTCATTTGAATATTTTTTAACGCCATGTATACAATCAATGTAACAAGTAATTAGAAGTTGATTTATATTAAAATGCATTATGGACATTTGCTATTTGTTTATGAATATTCTTTGCAATATAAATCTCCAAATCATTTATTTCTCCAAGCTTGGAAATTAAAAGAAAAACACACACTATTTAATAAGACCTTAACCTGGAAGGGGAAATGCCTAAAACAACAACAACAACCAAGTTGCACATTTTTGTCTAATAAAACAAAATAATACCCCATAATTTCATTTCCCATGAACTGGTAAAATGTCCACGGATGACAGTTTAATAGATCTATATATTATCTTAAACACATGTGATGTCTAGAAAAGGCTCATTTAGCACTCTTTAACCATACTCAGAACTGACAGCGAAACCAGTTGAGTTTTGAAATTATTCGGGGTTTCAGATATCTCTCTTTTTTGCTTATCTATAATTGCGACCTAATGGAAAAGGCAAGAGTCACGCCGTATTTTGAAAGAAAACTAGCTATTTAATATTTAAGAAGAACTTAACAAGAAACATAAACATATATTATACTCCAGTAGGCTAAACGCTATATGTGGCATGGCCACATTCAATTGGTGTTTCAGAAGGGAATGCCAGTTGTGATCATTTTGTTGCAAACTTTAAGATTGTTAAAAATTATATGAAAGTAAGTGTTGGGTTCGCAATGACTCCTTTTATGTGTAATTGGTAAAGATAAAAGTATTTAAACGGAATTGAGAGGTGGGGATGGGGGAAGGGACAGGGTCCTAAAATTTTTCGCATCCATTCAGCCCCTTTTCCTTTTTTCGACTGTTACATGCGATACAATGATATGGAGTTTATTGAGATCTAAAACAATTGCGCTGACCGTGCAAATTGAAGAGGATCGCGTATTCTAATAAATCTCCGTTAGCACAGCATTTAATACCTACCAGTTTTAACACTGTATTTAATAACTCTTTTACAATCTTCTAATATCTCTGCCGATGTTGCTGGTTCATTTTTTACAGGTAGTTGTAATAATTTCTGAAATCAAATTTACGTATTGTACATGGGATTGTGGATACAGATTTCGTGATCGAGTGGTTAAGTGCGCCCCATGGACCTAAGATCTGTCATTATTTTATGCTTGCTGTCAGTTAAATTCACATTGTGTGACTAAATGGAAAGGCGTCGTTTTTTACGATTCACTCCCACTGCAAAGATGTAGAGCTGCTACAAAAATAAATGATTAGTTTATGTCTTGGAAAATAAGATGAATATAATGTTATTATCTAATTTATAGAATATAACGTTTTATTTTATATAGGTTTACCATCTACTGTGGGTGTCTGGTCGTCTTGTACTAGACATAAAATGTCATAAAATGTTTTTGTGTGTTATTGTTTTAAATGAGTTCTCACTGTGCATTTCCTTTTTGTCAAACGATGGTTGTCGTTAGCCCCGACAAACTTAATTCAAGGGATTACTGATTTAGATTACGTGTCGCTTGTTTGTATTTATATAACTGCACATTTGAGCAACATTGAATGAGTTTAAGTAAGATATGCTGACTTTAGGAACCATTTTGTAAATTCAGCATTGACACACAAAAAGTGCATTTCAGCAAAACAAAATCTCACAGAGGATTATTTCAAAATTGACTGACGTCTTTACGGGAAGAATTTTGCAAGGGCAATTTTCAAAGTGCCTAGCCAAGTTTTTGCTCAATCTAATTTCAACCCAATTAAAACTATCCATTTAAATCTATTTATTCGACAGATCATTCGATTGATATATAAATGACATGTTTAAAGAAACTGTGCATTGGAATAAACAACCCAAAATAAAACGAAACTAAATGGTGATATATTTTGAATTAGTCGGAGATAACGTTCTAAAAGGGAAGCAATATTACATTTGACAGCGGTTCCTATCCTTTCAATGTTTCGGGTAACAGTACTATACTTGTTATCACTTTCATTGGAACTGCAATTTTCATACATGCTTATAACGATCGGGTCCAATTTGCCATATTTTCTGTAATAAATCTTATATCATACCTTAAGTTCCTCAGGATGTCTGAATTCAACAACAGGTGCCTCTCGAGATGTCCCTTTAACTAAAGCATCATCTACCATAATTTTATGAACATCTTCTAAAAATTTGATGGTGGCGGGATCTTCATACGTTTTGTCTAGAATCAAATACTATTATAATCAACATGGTTCTGCAGATAGGTTTAATAAATCTGTCTTATTTTAGTCTATAGTGCTCAACCTTTTATTAATATTGTCTGATACACGGACGATTACCCAGGAGTTGCCAGACAAGATACGTCCACATCTTGCAAGAGATGGACAGAGTTTTCGTCCTTTCCGAATCAGGGGATTCGATGGCCGAATGGTTAGCGCGTGTGTTGTATCATAAGGTCTGTCATTGAGTCAACTGGCGTGGTTTCGATTCCCTGGATGTACGTGACAAGGAGTATGATCGCCCGTCCAACCTCGTTCAACCGCGTTGGTTTTCTCCGGGTCCTCCGGTTTCCCCCCACTGCTAAAGACCCTTGCGCGCATGCGAATTAATGAAATAAATCGAACAATATGTTAGTTCCAAAATGACCTAGTTTGTGTAGAGTGGACGTTAAACCCCATTTTCACTAAGTTACACCCCTTTGTTAGCCCTACCTACGTTGCGCCTGACGAGAGAAGTGGGTTTGAAAAATTCTGAGGGTTTTCATCTAGCTAATCCAGGATTCGAATCAAATCTAGTCCGCTATTTGAATACCCTCGGCCCACCAGAACTATTAAACACGCTGTCAGCCTTATTACTCTTCTGAAGCTTAGTACATCTTACCTGACATCCTGTTTGTAGTATGAAGTGACTGTTGGAGTGCTACCAAACTTTGACGATTCTTTAATGTTGACAAATATAAATTCTGACATAAAGGTCTTAACATACTAGAAGATGTAAAAATCTATGTTAAGAAATCAAAACATTTGCAATTCATTGAAATGTTAATTAACTAGCTCACACGCCCTAAAACATAAAAATAAATTCCTCCAAAATTCATTGGCTCTCTCCGAATTCTCAACTCATATATCAAATAGGGGTTGGGTGGCCGAATGGTTAACGCGTGATCGTTGCATCATAAGGTCTGTCATTGAATCAAGTGGCGTGGTTTCGATTCCCTAGTACGTGACAAGGAGTAGGCTTGTTTGTCCAACGTCGTGGGTTCTCTCTGGGTCCTCCGGTTTCCTCCCACTGCTAAAGACCCCGACGCGCGAACGAATTATTGAAATAAAATTGAACCATAATTATGGTAGTCCCGAAATAACCTAGTTTGTGTCGAATGGACGTTAAATCCCATTTCTCGTTCTCTTGCTGCGTCACCTGTGTGTGTTTGTGTGTGTGTGAAGTCTAATCAACAGAAGTTTGTATGCTAATCTACACCATGTATTAGTCTACTATAGCTTAAAACCCTATTTAAATATGCTTCTCGTATGTTGTATTATAACATTGGCTTAATGAATTGTTTGACATCACATCCAATAGCCTATGTATTATTAGTAAAACGTATTTCATAATATGCTTTAGATATGTCGATTTACAATTATAAAATACGTATACTTACTAGTAAAACTCAGCCTTCTATGATTATTTAAACTAGTATGTCCGTGTACATTGTACTATTGGGTTGATGAACAAACGGCCTTGAATATCATATTACACCAAGTAATGTGGCGTGTTCATCATTTTCCCTGGATATATTCCAAGTTCAATTACCTATTGACATACTTTTATACATTGTACTTTTCAGATGAGCAAATAATATTTCGGGCCCTTTATGTGTAAAACTCTACTTGAGAATCATCCGTGCATCGATGAATTGAAAATTGACAGTTATCTCCATCCATTACGTGCTTATATATCAAATTTCTTATGATAAATTATTATGTGAATTTGATACGAAATATAATATCATCAGATTCTGCTCTAGTAAGCAATTTAACGAATAACATGATTGTACTCAATTCGTTAATATGGGCATAAGAATGATTTTTTCCGATGTCACCAGTTTTAGGAAAATTATCTTCATTGTATAAGCATAAGTGAAATGAAATAGGGTTTAACGTCCAACTGCTCTCCAACATATTTGCCCGGATCCCGGCACCATGGATTACTAATTATATAAGAAAGTCATTTGAAAAAGTGCTTATTATAAAAGACGTTCATTATGAATGCCATTCATTATGAAAGGATTTGTGATTTCGGTTATACTAATATGATCATTATGAACCATGACAAACCATGACGATAATTATGAATGACAATTATGAAAGACGATCAATATGAAAGAAGATTAGCACAAAAATAGATCAATATGAAAAATATGTGACCATTGAAACAATTGTGTCCAAATTATCAGACGTTAACCCACTAGAGATTGGCTACATTCCATTACAGATTACTCCACATTCCGTGGTCAATTTAGTTAAACGCGTTTCAATATACATGATTTTAATCATAAACCTATTGATATTCTTTTAACTGTCGTATAAATGCCTTACCTGTTTGCAATTTAAAACATATGTAGCATATAATGTATTATAAATTATATTATAACTTAACCTTTATCCTTTATATAGATGTTTACATAAACTGATAAGCAGCCACACATATTATATAGTTAAAATGGGACAGTGGGTCATATAGAATAATCCTTTCGTAATCGACATTATAGAGTACTTAAAGTTTGTGTGATTGCTGGCGTCCTACTTTCCCCAAGAACTTGACAATGAGACGAATTGTTGGCTAATCCTTACCCATGGGGTAACCTATATTATCCGGTGGAAACAGGGAGCCCTCTAAGCTATCAAATTAGCTAGCCGGCTAAAGATGGGTGTATAAATTATATTGCTCCTATGTTCAACATACTAGTATATCATTGTGACAATAGAGAATATTGATAAACGCAGGTCACCATAACCTCAGATAAATAAGCATGTAGATGTTTTGCAGGTGTACATACAATCACAAAGGAAAATCGCGGATAATACAGAGTGTCGCTGGAAGCGAGAAGGGGTACGTCTTGAAACTACAATTTGCCCTTCCTAACTGAAAATGATGTAGTTAATAGTAGTTTTAGCTGAAATGGCACTTGGACAGTTTGTACATAAATGTGTACATGGCTATGGTTGGTGGCGTTCTATTTTATTGAATTATTTTTTCTCGTTCTTTTTAAAAAAGAAAACAAACCTGCGACTTTAAGGTAACGTGGTTAAAGGGACATCTTGATCAGACTGAAGCCCACAGAGTATCTTTGAATTCCTTAATATGTGGACCTTCATATATATAAGTCCATCAATAAACAGAATAGGGTAGTCACCATTTCAACTCTTTCACTTAAATCTTATGGACGTTATAAGAATGGGGATATTTTTTAAACGCCAAAAGAGTGAGGATATTTTTTTAGACATTAGCAAAAAATTCCTTTAAGGGCAGAATAACATATGTAAGGAAAATAAACACATATACACATATGCAGTAAAAAGTGTTTTGCTCTACAAGTTTAGTGATATTTCGTATTTATTTAGTCTGCAAGACACGATAAATAGCTGAGACATGCAGTTATTCCTGAATAAGCAGTCTTCAGCCAGTGTGATAGTTGATATCATATGGTTCTAATTTACACAACGACATGGTATTTCAAGTCACACCCTAGTTTCTGTAAATTTAAAGAATTGTTATCGCCTTGTCGATTGTCGTCTAAATTGTCTACTAACTGATATTGTTCTCTGGGGGATTTTTTTAAAGGTCTAATTTTGTGGAAATCAGTTGTTTTTCCCTAAATCCGATTCATCTGGAAATGTCCAGCTGTTATTCTAACAAATCTAGTTTTTGTGGATATTGCTGAGCTATTTGTGTTGAGGGTTTCATTTGGTGTGTAGCACTTCTGCCAGATCCGTGGCACCATAGTGATTTTCTCCCACTGCTACAGATTTTGTGGAAATCAGTTGTTTTTCCCTAAATCCGATTCATCTGGAAATGTCCAGCTGTTATTCTAACAAATCTAGTTTTTGTGGATATTGCTGAGCTATTTGTGTTGAGGGTTTCATTTGGTGTGTAGCACTTCTGTCAGATCCGTGGCACCATAGTGATTTTCTCCCACTGCTACAGACTACTGCAGTTATTGAAATTATACCATATAATGTTAGTCCCGAAATGACCTAGGTGGTGTCGAGTGGAAGTTATACCCCCTCTCTCTCTCTCTCATATTGACTTATATACGTCCCGTTATTCACATAACTTAGTTTGATTCGATTATTACGTTCTGCAGAGTCCAACACGTTACAATTATGGGCGTAAATCTTTGAAAATATATGTTGTTGAGGAAGTTATGGGAGATACCGTAGCCCACCAACCAGAGGATCCCGGTTTCGATCCTGGTCTTGGCCGAGAAAGTTCCTCGCCATATGTCAATGTGATTTCCTATTGTCAGTTGTGCATGACGTAGAGCTTGTCAATGAACAAAATATTATAGTAATTGGGGTGGGACGAAAACCAAGGTACGGTGTACATTTTGGCGTACACGTAAAATAATCTTTGACAGTTGGAATTATCCCATAGTACAATGGATACATGTCTTGACTATCCCGGTTGGTGCAGAAAAGTAGGACGTTAAACCAAATTTAATTTCCTTTAATTTCCCAATTCTGATAATTATCGGCGTATAGCTCTGCTAATTTACGTTCTTCAGGGGGTCTCAAACGTAAATAATTTTACTGATATGCGGCCAGGCCATTCACTATGGATACTGGTATTGGCAAGTTTGGTGCTATAGGTCTGGATGTGCGTTTCATAGTTTTCTAGGGTATGTGTCGTATTCACCCCCACCTCACTCCATGGTATATATCATTAAGACCGACTACTTATTGCTTAAGGGACTGTATTCACCCTGGACAATGACAAATCCATGTCTATAGAGTTATAGCAAGAACAATTGGGTGTTCTAAAAGTCAACATCTGTATAACTTATCACGGTTTAACCAATAAATGGGTAAAAAGTAGTCATTTAAAAAACGAAGCCTTAATTATAATTCTTTTATGTTAACAATACTTGGGCGTGCAGGTGGTTAGTGGATATGCAGGTGGATAGGGGTGGAGTTATGATTGTGGTATTTTGGTTGTTCATAAGCATTTTAGGGCTATCTTGTCGACTGGAACTTTGCTCCGTTCTGCTTCTAGTAACGCTGGGTGATATCTACAATTGATACCCGCAACTGATATTAATTTTCTGAAATAGCCCCTTCTTACAGATACAACAAATTAGCTCTTTTTTTGTTTTTTTTATCTTTTTTTTATTTCAATACTTCAGCTATATACCGACAAAATATAACAGAATGGTCATTATACAGATGGACATCTATGTTTTATTCATATTTATAAATCATAAGAAACAAAATGTTGACGTTTTGAAACAGCTTTTGGTATTTGAAGATGTCCTTAAATGGCAGTGAGGTTGATATCACATTATTATGTACATCACAGTTTATACGTCACGGCCCCGCCATATCCCAGTGGAAGATGGCATCACAGATCCTTGAAAGTGAGGTTGGTATATTTCATAACGAGGTCCTTGAGTCACGTGATATACAAGTTAATAAAAAAACAAATGGACGGAATAAGATAAGGCGCTTTTTTGTACAATGTCTGCTGCAAATATTATGTAATGAAAGGCAACGTTGGCCCCTTAGCACCAGAAAAAGATGAAGAATTAATAATAATCTAAATGATGCGTCGGTTTAGCTAAAGCATACATCTCCCACTTCAATACCAAATTGTTGATTCTCACTACCGACGTCAAACAGCCTTACATCTAATATAGGCATTATCTTAGGCTTTTTGGTTTCAACTTTAAAACTGGCAGAGTGCCATTGGTTATCTGTTTTCTGTAAGTAAAAAATGAGATATGCATTAAGGATATGTTAAAACATATATAATGAGCAACCGTACATTGGCTTACAATTAGGGGAGGACTATGTTGAGTGTGGCTAGAAACAACGTCTCATTGGTGCCATAAGAACTGGAATATTGGGCGAAAATCGTTATGGAACTTCCGTTTCCTTTTAAATTCTGGTGTTACAAGACTTTAGACATTTGTAAAACTAAAAACAACACACGTCTTCAGTGTTTTAGCTTGAAACAACTGCCATTAGACAATAAACCTGTCAGGATTTCAGATAAACATCTTCGTCGTAAACAGGCAAACTCTTTGTTTGAGTTAACGGAATATTGACCCTGAATGTGACATTTCCACAAATGTTATTTACTAATAATTTAACAAACGGATACTTACATTACAACCACCCTCAGAGTGAATAATTGTTGCTTTTCCTATACGCTTTTGTGTTGTATCTATTTCATTATCATTATCCATGGCAAGTCGCATGCCATACACATCGGAATTCAAGCAATTGTATACAACTGTTTGACGAGCTTTCTCTGAATGATCTTTCAATGCGTTAAGTTGTTTTTCTCTAATTTGATATTTAAACTGTAAAAATAAAAAAGACAAAAACATTATTTGTCAAGATTCTTGTCATATTATTAGCGCAATATATCACAGTTTCTGTGTGTCAAGATCTTCTGTGACAGTAAGGTTGTGCAAGGCATTTACTGTGACATACCAATTTTCAACTGCAAAGCAAAACGTTAATAGTCTTTTTATGCTATAACTATGGTATATTGGAATTAACATAACGCACACATCATCTGAAAAGTAAGCAAATTACGAATAAATTGCGTGACAAATTTATCAAACATTAAACTTACTTCTGTATCATCATTAAGTTCTTCCATAAATAGATAACCTCCCTGGGTACTTTGTGTCCATCTTTGTGGTTTGTACTGAAAAAAAGAAAACAGCAATGACAAATAACAAAGTGGTAATCAAAATGGTAGTTTGAAATGTACCCAAGAAAAATGTCAACTTCAACATTCATAACTAGCAAATGAAATATTTAGGCTAGTTAAAGATGCATTATGTAAGAGCTAAATCTTCCTAATGTAGATCGTCTGTTTGGCCTAAAATGTTATATAAATCATTAATTATACATTTATTCACATGCAAGGCCCACAACCAACGCTCTAGATTGCTAGTTAATGATTTAATTAAAAAAGGATAATCGCGAGTTGGTTTATTATCATAACAACGGTACCAATGATAATTGAGACTATATTATTCTGCTAACGGTAAAAAAAAAATCCGCTTAGAATGAAATAATTTGACTGGAATTTTCAACATATTCCCTTTTCATTATCTATTTTTAATCTATTATAGCGAGAACTGTTAGCCCATGAATGACTAGATTTATTAATTTGTAAATGGAAATCAAATAAAAACAACATGTTACTTACGATGGGGCTTTTGGCTTTAACACAGGTTTCTGCTTGTTCTTTTTTGCAGAATACTTCAATTGAGTCAATACCACTTCCACCATTAGGATCGATAACGTAAACACCTAAAATTCGTCAAAACAACGGTTATACATTAAGTGCATTTAAAAAGTATTTAGTATTTAACGTATAGATCATTTTCATAGAACATATTTACCACTTCACCACTAGAAAGTTTGTAAACTGTTCGAAACTGTACTTTGTTATTCATGAATGAATGGCCATGAATAATCTGCTAAAAAGGCCTGCATCAAGCAATGAAGTTATTACTCAAACTGTTAGACTTTTTTTTATTGTTTGTTCAGAATAGCAAAGATAATTATAGCTGTAGATAAAGAAGTTGTATTAAATTTTGAAAATATTACACTTATCATTGAAAACGCTTACCATCTTCGAAATCTTCATGATCTTCAAACAAATGTCTGCAGGTAACAGCTGGGTCGATTTTAGTACCAGTTGGTTTTCGTACACGTTGAATGGCTTCTTGTACAAGAGAAAGTCGTTCGTTGAAGTTGGGCATTTTAGTGAGCTATAAAATAATTAATAAATAAAGACATTATGTTTTCAATTTCCTTTAGCACTTTTTGATTCACACTAAACTATATAAACGAGGTTAATCTAATATAAACAATATAAGCCATATTATCTGTAGTAAACTTTATTCAAAATTATCAGATTCGTTTTATTGTTAGGTCTGTAGTGAATGGCATAGGTTTAAAGTCTCGTCAACGCATTTCGAGAATAATATGGTAATGTGCATTTCTATGATTACGTGTGCAATGCAAATGATGAGAGGCTACCCGGCGGAGGGGCTTTCCGCTTTCCAGAAGACCAATATAACCCGGCTGACATCCATCAAAACCATTAGGCAGGTTTTCCTTGTCAGACCCCAGAAGCTATCCTTGAGATCCGGGCTTTAAAAAATCGGCCCAGCCGGAATTCTACTCGTAAGGTTAGTACCATATAATAATAACTGTTCCGTTACTAAGGTAACTTATTATAGAATATATAAGTATACTCACCATTTCTGCGTCAGGTTGGTCGTATTGCTGAAATAAATTAACATAAAGTTAAAGAGAAAACCATATATTTAATAAATAACACACAGATGAGAAATATTTACCATTTTATATACTAACTAACTTTGTTTTTGTTTAATTCGCCCCTTTGGCATAGCACTGTTTTTGAGAAATCGATTACCGATACTTTGGTTTGATTTTATCTATAAATAAGATAGGTTGAAAGGCAAAGAAACATACGCCCACAGTAGCTAAGTCTCCGGTCAGTCAACAAGGGTTGTCGCATATTTTTTTTTTTTTTTTGTCAGTAATGAAAACATTTACAACACATGAAAATCTGATTATGAGTAATAACCCATGAAGTAATTATCAGAAAACATTAGAATTTGTTTCAATTGTTTGTCTCATGATCTTAAACAATTTATATTAACTTTAGCCTCTAGAGCTCAACAAGATTTTTCAAAGAGATCAAGGGCCATAACTCTGGTAGTAATTATCGGAACTCGTTGAAAATGAATAGGATTTCTTCATCTCAAAGCCTTAAACACTGTGTATAATTAAAGTCAATCAGATATTAACTTTAGCCTCAAACGCGTCCACAACATATTTCAAAGTGATCAAGGGCCATAAGGCTTGCTGTAATCAACAGATATCGTTAAAAATCAGTATGATTCTTCGACCCGTGACCTTAAACACTATATATAAATTTAAAGTCAATCGGATATTAACTTTAACCTCTAGAGCGCACACGACGTTTTTTGAAGTGATTAAGGGCCATAACTCTGGCAGTAACTATTGGAAATCGCTGACTGACGGGCGGACGGACGAGGGCGAGGACAATATACGACCGCATTTCAGTGAAAATGAGTTGTCACCTACAGAATATTATCATTTAAAGGGACAATAACACTCTTGCTGGCTTGACAGCTCCAGAAAATAAATTCTAAGTATTAGATGTTTATGTGTCCTACCTGTTGCTTAAATTATCCATTACATCCTATTTTACTTGTCCAGAGAGTTCAAAAATATTTTTAAATCCAAGTCACATTTGAAAAGGTTTACGTTAGGCTTTTCAAATCATTTAGTTGAATTTTTCCAATTTTTAAATAAGGTGTGTTAAGATGAAATTTGTATCATCAATTAATTGGAATATTGTAAAATAGTACAATGTGTTGACTAGAATAAAGATTGGGACATATTATTCAATTACAACAAGAGTGGTATTGAGCCTTTAAAGTATTTCTTTATCTGGGAAAGAAATATGGCATCAGTTCAATTGGCAATGGAAGATAATTTATTTACTTACGTAGTATGGATCAACTCCCTTGTTCTGTGATTGTCTGGCAGGGTAGACTGGGGCATAACCCTATTAAATTGAAAAAAAATAAAGTAAAAAACAATTTTCAGTACATTACGACATCTAAAAATTTTGTTCGGATAAAAATCGAAGTTAGAGTTACAGATGATATTTATATGAAATGTTTTACTTACTGGTGGTCCGGGTGGCCCTGGAGCTCCACGTGGTCCCATGGGTCCCTAAGTAATGAAAATATTCAAATTAATATAATTTTCAAAAAAAACATTGTTAGCATTGTCTAGAATATTGTTAATAGTTACTATTACTTTTGCATTATTATTTTACTAAATATGTATCTGGCGTTTGTATAACCAGTTGCTATTTTGCTAAATCTGACTTTGATGTTGATATAACGGGTTGCTATCTTGCTAATAATTACTTTGGCGTTGGCATAAGTAGCTACCATTTTACTAAATATTACTTTGACGTTGGCATAAGTAGCTGCTATTTTACTAAATATTACTTTGGCGTTGGCATAATTAATCAGCGTTCGCGCAAGACCTTTATTATTCGTACAAAGAGTGGCTAAGTATTGCTTTGGTGTTGGAATAACGAGTGGCGTTTTGAAGAAAGGAATAACGAGTGGCGTTTTGAAGAAAGGATAGAGTAAAAACTTACGTTAGAGCCATCGTCTCCAGCGGGTCCCCTGGCACCCTAAAATACACAAGCAAATCATACTCTAATAATAAAACAAGAAATATATTTCTATTAAAGACACAATAAGCCAGATCGTTCACATACATTTTACGTAATGGCACCATGGGCTAGCTTACGTATGATGGATCAACCACAAAATATTATAATTACTATATTTGTACATATTAGAATTGCTTGATTTGAACAATTAAGAATTAACTTACAGCGGGTCCAACTCGTCCTTGTGATCCGGGTTCTCCGGGTCGTCCATTCAAACCACGTTGTCCAGGTGAACCCTGTAATATTACAAAATTAAATTGTCAATGCATTCAAATACCTTGGACCTAACAAAGAATATTTCGGCCACAAGAAACTTCTTCTCGGTAACATGGATAGCAGCTGAGCAGCTGACAGATCGACTGACCAAACTCAACATGGTTATAATCCAAACATTTGCTGTAAAGAATGTTAGGAAATGATAAATGAATGGAGAAATATAAAAACAATAACACTTACAGGTGATCCAGGTGGACCTTGTGGACCGGGTGAACCAGTATCTCCATTGCTTCCCTGTAATCAGTAAATGTACAATTACATTATAATTGTTTCATGGCGTGTTTAGATTTAAAGATATCGTAATAACTTTTTAAAATAGTAATAAAATAAAGCTTTTCCTTCAATTTTTGAATTATTGATAGTAAAATAATTACTTACAAGAGGTCCGGGCGGTCCCTGAGGACCAGGTAATCCAGGCCATCCTTTGTCTCCCTGAAAGATGAAATGAAAACAGATAAAAAATCATTTGTAAAAAAAATTATTAAAAAATAAATAAAATCATTTCAAACAAATAAATAAAATCATTTCTAACAAATAAATAAAATCATTTCTAACCAATAAATCATAGATAAATTTAGTCAATTTTTCAAATATTTCCTTTACAATCGTTAAGGCTTACCTGAGTTCCTGTTCGTCCAGTTTCTCCCTTTTCTCCCTGAGCACCTTGTACACCCTGGTAATAAACAATACTAACATAAATTTCAAGCAGACTTACTAATTAAAAAAACCCAACAAAACAAATCTATATTCATAGTCTTTCATTATCATATAATACGTGTTCTATTTGTATACTTTATTTTATTTTCATATTGGCCACTTCATTAAACATAGAACAGCTATTTTAATATATGAAGTGTTCAATGTATTTATCAAGAGATTTAGCAAGTAGCTAACATTTAACACTTGACGAGAGACCTCCTTAGTAAATCTGTTAGATATATTCGGGGTAGATGTCACCGAAAATATAACCCGCATTTAATGTGAGCGTATATAAATGGAAGAGCATTTAGATATCTATTTTAATCAAATTGTAATGGTATACTTACAGGAGCGCCAATAGCACCAGTAGATCCGGGTTGTCCAGCATTACCCCTTTCACCCTGCAAGAAACATTAGGAAACACTAGAAAACCAAATTGGATCAAATTATTGTAATGGTAGTTTGATAAATATATTCTTTAATATATCAATGGAAACTAAAAAAACAATGTTACATAAATGATTTAAAGTCAAACAGGGTATAAAACAAATTCCTTACTCGTTCTCCACGTTCTCCCTGGGGTCCTGGTTGACCAACACCTCCAGCGGGTCCCTGAAAAACAGTTCGGTTTTATTAGTTAAACTAAAGAAATATTGATTAAAAATGGCGGGCAAATACAATACGCCAGATGTGTATTGTTTCAAGTAGAAATAATAATATAATAATTTTTAATGCGATTTAAATAGTACCATCAATTAAACATTGCTAGTGAAAACATGGACTTACGACAGCTCCCAAAAGACCGGGTGGTCCAGATCGTCCTTGTGGTCCTCGTGATCCCTTTGAACCAACAAGTCCGGGGAATCCAGGTAACCCATCCTTTCCAGCAGCACCCTACAAAAAAGAAAATCATACACAGTATAACTACATGTCCTCAGTATTAATGGTGCATTTAATTATTTACATATTTTTAGGTTTTACTCATAACGATGTTCTAATATTTTAATATATTAGATGGTTGGTTAAGTATATACTCACAGGTTGTCCGGGTTCTCCAGGAGGTCCTGGTGGTCCGGTAGATCCAGCAGGTCCCATTGGTCCTTGTTGTCCATCACTACCATCTCGTCCAGCATTACCAGGTTCTCCCTGAATAGATGAAGTAATAATTAAAACTCAAATTGTTTAAATCTTCTTTAACTATTCTACACTATTTCCGTGACTGCATATAGTTACAAATGGCTAAGAGTACTTACATTCGCTCCAGCAAGACCTTGTGGACCAGGTTCGCCTTGGAATCCGGGTGCACCTGGGTTACCTCTTTCACCTTGTGGTCCAGTGGCTCCAGCTTGTCCTGGTGGTCCCTGTCGGAAAACAAAAATACAAATAATACAAGTATATTTAAAATGTCAGCATTTGGTCTTAATGTCGTTCGGCTTTCATACATGTCTGCGATGTATACGATGATGCATGCCCGAAAAGACTAGTACTTGTTACTAAAATGCACAACAAATAAAACGAGCGAGAGCGCAATCATCTAGATAACTGTTTGCTAATTGGGCGAATTTTGGGTAAATTTTGCTGAAAACGAAACCACCAAATTTGTGTTGCTTAAACATCTTGACTCTCAACTGTACTAAAGAATATTACATAGTCTTGACTACATCTACCCAGCTTTAGCGTCCAAACTTTTAGCCAACCTAACATAATCATATAACATGCTTCATGGATGAGATAGATGATTGAAAGCGCATTGGTCTACTAATAAAAGCATAACTGTTATTAACTTACAACTTGTCCAGTAGATCCACGTTCACCAGGAGCGCCATCCAAACCTGGGGCGCCAACAGCTCCGGCTTCACCATTTCGTCCTGGGGGTCCAACTTCACCACGCTCGCCCTATAAAAAACAAAGCAGTACTATTTAAAACAAACATTCATTTAGATATTGGGTGTCTAGCTTATTTAGAAATAAGACGATTTCATGGATTGTCAGAATTTCTTATCCATTCCACCCCATAGAAAATATTTATTGTTGGATAAATTAATACAAAGCCCGCTTGTTCCACAAAAGATTCATGTGCACTTACTCGTTCGCCTTGCTGACCAACGGCACCAGCTGGGCCTAGAGATCCTTGTGCACCGGGGGGTCCGGGTGGTCCAATTCGTCCTGGCTGACCGGGTTGACCAGCTGTTCCTGGGGTTCCTCCTTCTCCTCGAGATCCCTTTCTTCCAGCAACACCTTCAGCTCCCTGAAATAAAAGCAGTGGAAGATTAAACAAGACATGCTTAATAGGTGTAATTCTAACCCTTTGATGAAATCTGAACACTATGTTTTTGTATTCTTTATTGAAATATATTCTGGTGTATTATTCACATGCATGACAAGCATTTGCTGCAAATGACTATGCTAAGGCGTGCAAGACTCTTTCACTCCGCTTTAAACCACTGAGCTAGTAATTTTGTTAGTGCCTATGGCCCCGATGCAAACGTCTACACAGTAGCTTCGGTTTCCCAAATTTTAAGCACAAACTATCATGGATTTAGCTGTAGGTATTGAAAAATATCAAGCACGAGGTAGGGTGCGATTACAATTTGTGGAATATCTGATACCACGTCTCATTTGAGAAGTTCCCGTTCAACTCGCGTTCATATAGCTATCAAGCTTTGAATGTATTTACGGGGATGGATGGCCGAATTGTTAGCACGTGCGTGCTCTATCATAAGGTCTGTCATTGAGTCAACCTGCGTGGATTCGAATCCCTGGTTGTACGTGACAAGGAGTAGGGTCGCCTGTCCAACCTCGTGGGTTTTCTCCGGTTTTCTCCCACTGCTAAAGACCCCTACGCGCAAGCGAATTACTGAAATAAAATATACCATGTGTTAGTCCCGAAATGGTCTAGTTTGTGTCGAGTGGACGTTAAACCATTTATCTCTCCCTCTCTCCCTCTCTCTATCTCCCCCTCTCTCTCTCCCTCTCTCTGAATGTATTTGTTTAAATAATAATCAATCGATAGTTTGATTGCTTTACAAGTTAAATATTATAATTGAGGACTTACCTGTTCGCCCATAGCACCAACTTCACCGGGGAATCCACGAGCTCCATTATCACCCTAGTGGAAAAAATACCATACAGTGAATCAAATTAAAATATATCACTTTCACTTGTTATGTTTTTAGAGTTACTTTATTCGAAGACTATTAGTAATCATTATTTTAATTATGATATTCAGTGTATAACTTACCTTTACTCCAGGTGAACCAGGTTCTCCAGAAAGACCAGTTTCTCCGGGGGAACCCTGGAAGATATAAAATTATGACAGTCCTTTACAATTATGACGACAATTCTAGTTTATCATACAAAACAAAAATATAACACCGCGTTCCCAAAAGCTTCGGGTCATTTATAAGTGTTTCATATTCATACAGACTTACGCTCAATCCAGGTGGACCTTGTGCTCCTTGAAGACCAGCAACACCACGTTGTCCAACATTACCAGGTGGACCAGGCTCTCCAGCAGGACCAGATGGTCCACGATCTCCCTTACCAGCAGCAATACCAGAAGGACCCATGATACCGGGTGGACCGGCAACACCAGTTTCTCCAGGAGGTCCGGGTTCTCCATCTCGTCCTCGTTCACCTACATTTCCCTAAAGATAAACCAGAACATATTGATAGCCAGTGCTACATTTTGATAAAATAAGTTTTGAATAATTAAAACCCATTTGTATTTTTGTAATCTTCCTTATGGAAAGACCAAATCTTTTAATTTATATTGAAAATGATAAATGTTATACTTACAGTAAGACCTCTAGGGCCGGCTCTTCCTTCGGGTCCTCTCTCTCCGGGTAATCCCTAGGATATACCAAATGTACATATATAATTATTACCATTAAAACAAAGTGTGTGTGTGTGGGGGTGGGGGGTGGCTAGCACGTGCGCGCTGTATCATAAGGTCATTGATTCAACTGGCGCGGTTTCGATTCCCCTGTTGTACGTGACAAGGAGTAGGGTCGTCCGTCCAACCTCGTAGGTTTTGGCCTGGTCCTCCGGTTTCCTTCCACTGCTAAAGACCCCTACGCGCAAGCGAATTATTGAAATAGAATTGAACCAAGTGTTAGCGCCGAAAAGACCTAGTTTGTGTCGAGTGAACGTTAACCCCATTTCTCTTTAGTAAATGCAGAAGTGCTGATTTTGCCATTTTAAAATCAACCGTGAAAGATGTTAAATGTCAATTTAATATAAAAAAGAACATAACTGTTACGAAACATAATGTTTTAGTTATACATATATAGACTTACAATTAACCCAGCTTGACCAGGATCACCACGGTCACCAGATAAACCAGGGGGTCCCTAAAATATACAAAACAATATGTATAAAATTATCACAAAGTCAGTTTTCCTACATATATATATTTGCATATATCGATTGCCTATTATTTCATATGCTAATCGATTTGACTCAAAATGAATTGATTTCTGGTTAAATGTATGTATAAGTACTTACAGGCATACCGATTTCTCCGCTTGGTCCAGAGTTACCTCGTTCTCCTGGGGCACCTCTATTGCCAGGTTGGCCAATTTCACCAGGGAAGCCTTGTTCTCCCTAAAACAAAAATTATCATTTGGAGAGAGCTCAAGTAACAACATATACCATATATTAGATTATAAATTGGTGACTTTTTGTAATTAAAATATAATAAAATATGTTCTACGTTTATATTAACAAACACACGGGGTAGATTCGCAGAAAAAAAGGAACTAAGACTATAAACACTCACTCGTTCACCAGGAATACCGGGTTCACCAGCAGCACCAGATTCTCCTTGGGGTCCAGGGTTTCCAGATTCTCCGGGAGCTCCATCAGCACCAGGTAAACCCTGTTAATGATATAAATACAACAGCATATAAAGTACTAACTTTTTAAAATAATAAAAAAACATGGTTTTTAACTTTTAAATAATCACTTCTATAACAAAACCATACTTTTCTAATTAAAAGTTTACTTTACCCCTAGAATCATAACTTTGTCCGTGTCGTTGCACAGCTCATCTTAGTTATTGGACGGCTTTATGTTTTTAATATCACACTTCAGTCGTTAAAACATTTAAACTTATCGGCCTCGGGGTACAAAAAATATAAACATAAGTATTATCTACCACAATACATAACTAAGTTGGATACTCACTTGGAATCCAGTTGGGCCAATAGCACCAGATTCTCCTCGTTCTCCGGTTTGTCCCTAAAATGGATGCAAATGTAATACAAGACATGAACATCAAAATCTGTACATTGTATTTCCATTTCTAAAAATCAATATAAATTGGTTTACTTTATTCCGCCTTGTTAGGTGTATATTTAATGTATATAAAATATAATTTTCTGAATCCACAGTAACAAATGAAGACTTCTTGTATGGACAATACACTTACAGGGGCGCCATTAGCTCCAGGTGGACCAGGTTCTCCAGCTGGACCTCGTTCTCCTCGGGTACCTTGTGGACCAGGTCGTCCTTGATCCCCACTTCGTCCTTCAGCTCCCTAGCAATACAAACAGTACACTCATTAAATACAAGCTACGTCCAGCCTATAAGGTATATATAGATATTATATAATGTTTCGTGCTGTTATATACTAATAACGTGTACCATCAGTAAGTTCTGCTAGGAATAAGTCAAAACATCCCCTGCTCATGGACAAGTTTTGGATGGAATAGTGATTGACAATGTCTGTTTTATTGGTAATCAACAACAAGATACTATAATTAATATAGCAAATGGTGTACATGTTATAAGGGATATAATATAGCAAATAGTATCACGCATCTCAATTAAGCCACTTGACTATAGTGAACATAATTTAAGACAAACGCTGCTCACATGCTCCGGATTAATACTTATATACCAAAGCCCAAGTCAAATTTGTTTCCATTGAAAAACAAAAACGATTAAATTTCATAAAGATATCTTGAGCAGTTTAGTGGATAGGTTTAGGAAACAAAACACACCCAATACATTTAACAATTAATTGACTTACAGTCTCGCCCTTGTTACCAGAAGGTCCTTGAAGACCAGGTGGTCCAGCATTTCCTTGAGGACCTTGTTCTCCGGGGGCACCATCAAGACCATTGCTACCCTAATAGTAAACAAATGAAATGTGTAAATTGCTACTCTAATTGTACACAAATAAAATGAGTAAATTTGCTGGTAATTATTGGGACATTGTTAAGATAAATGAAGTCTCAAAGATAGTTAATATATAATTCTATATGAGAAACGGGATACTCTGAAAACATATAAAACATGTGAATAAACATGAAAACAGGAGTAATTGGAATCATGTAAAACATATTATTACAATCAAATATTTAGAGGTACAAATGGGATAATCTAAAATATATTACTTACGGCTGGACCACGGTCGCCTGTAGCTCCATCCAAACCGGGAAATCCAGGGCTTCCCTGAATTATAATAACATCATAATACATATATAGAGACAGTTTTTAATGACGCATGATCAATTTTTGTTGAGAATCATTAATAATTAATAATGAATAACTGAATAATTAGAATATTAAAATGTGTAACGAAAACAAATTGGCTTATCAAAAATGTCGCTTGAAGCTGGTAGAATATACAAGTAAAAGAAGTTAATAAACAAAATATACAAACATAATTACTGTTACTTACTCGGGCACCGGGGGCACCAGCAGGACCAGGAGCGCCAGCTTGACCCTGTAATGATCAAAAAATATTATTAAAGCCGGAGATCTTTCGATCTTAAGACCACATGTCAAGAATGAGTCACAGATGCTTTAATATTTAAATAAAACTTCTAAATTTAAATCGAATCTACAAAGGAAATAGTAGAAAAATATAATGTAATCAATATTTGTTTCAAATGTTTATAATATTTAAGATACATAATGTATAATTTTAGAAATACACACAATTAATTAACATTACTTACAGTTAGACCAGGCTCGCCACGTTCTCCAGTTTGACCACGTTCGCCATCACTACCTCGTTGTCCAGGTGCTCCACCAGCTCCAGGTAATCCTGGGGCACCAGGGGAACCCTGTAACGGCCAAAAATCAAATTATGTATATTCTAAATTACGTTGGATTATGATTACTTAGCTACAACTTGCCACGGGGTTCATGTGAGAGTGGTATCATCGTATTGCAAGACCGTACAGCATACCGATTTCATTTTCTTCTGTGCTTGATTACGCATTATTAGTTTTCATAAGTTTTGTCTATTCCATAACACGATAAATATTTTTACAAATTCTAAATAAAATATATTACTAAATGATTAAGAGTATGGTGATTACTTACGGCGTCTCCTTGGGATCCTGATGGACCAGGTGGGCCAACAGCACCAGAAGCTCCCTAAAATAGAAAGTACAAAATATTGGCACATTTTTGGGGGAATCAAATAAGAATCAGCATAATATTCATTTTGTAGTATGATGTTAAAATTGTTGTTTATTTATTTATTTCATTACAGAAACAATGTAAAGGGTACCAAGACATTTTAAGTGAACTTACTCGTTTGCCTTCTAAACCAGGTAAACCGGGAAGACCTCGTTCACCAGATGATCCAGGAGAACCTCTTGGACCGGGGTCACCAGAGCTGCCTGGAGATCCATCACGTCCCTGTAAAATAGAGATTGCAATACAGATGATATAAATTAGAAGGTATTCAACGCGTTGACATAACTCATAATACATGTAATAATGTTTACTAGGGTTGTCTTTTTTTAATTTCTTGCAAAGATTACAGATTTTTATATAAAACAACGCAAATTTACTTACAGCATCTCCTTTGGGGCCCATACCTCCAGGGGCACCACTCGAACCAGGTGGGCCTTGTGGACCAGGGAATCCGGGAGCACCGTTAGATCCGACAGTACCCTAAATATAAAATAAAATGTATGACTAAGTAGTTCCGAGTACAGTTTGAACGAACACAATTAAAATGAATAGAAATATAAAAGAACCAATTTATGAAATAATGGGGCATCCTTTATAGAGTTTACATAAAGTACAAGTTCGTAATATTATACGTTTATATCCAATTATGATACTTACTCGTTCTCCTTTATCACCAGGGCTTCCATCTTCCCCACGTTGGCCGGGTTGACCGGGAGAGCCAGGGGTACCAGAAGCACCATCATTTCCAGGTGGACCAGAAGCACCTTGTGGACCACGTTCACCTGCATTACCACGATCTCCCTAAAATAAAGTACGATATTATTATTATTAATATTATTATTATTATTATTATGTCATAAAACTTTACCCACCCTTTAACAAACAAACTAGGATGCTGGTGAATAATAATAAAAAAAAACAAACGCTGAATAGATCTGTTTCTGGGAAATAGCATTTTTATTTCATATCTACTGGTTAAATGTGCTGAAGGTACGCTTGACAACATCTCAAGATATTCATAATTTTAAAGAATTGATAATTGGTTCGGCTGGTAATTATCAAATCCAAAACTTACCTTTGCTCCGGCACTACCGGGGAAACCTGCAGCACCGGGTGGACCAATAGGTCCTGGGGATCCACTGTTACCAGCTTGTCCGTCAGATCCTCTTAAACCCTGTAAACAAACAAGGTGTTCAGTTGCGTATTATTGTAAAGGGAAATGTATTTTTAGGTGATTACTTTTAACGAATATATTTAATAATAAACTAAATACGTGTATTTATGTTTATAGTCCAAGTGGTCCACTTACTGGAGCTCCAGTGTTACCATCTCGTCCACGTTCTCCAGGAATACCTCGTGGTCCAACAGATCCAGGTCCACCAGCAGGTCCTGGGGGTCCACTTGCGCCCTGTAAAACAAGAAATATTTCAATAAATACATGTAACGTTCAGACTACTCTACCAATATAAGCAACGAATTAAATTGATTGTCAGGCAACGAAACAGTCGTCCCCTGACAATTAAACAAGCTCAACTATAGTCGATCCAGCAGTGCACACAAGTTATCGCATATGTATTCTTTTGTAGGTGATGGGAGTATTTACAACCCATAAAGTAATTTTCGGAATACTTAAAATTTGATCGACTTCTAGTTCTTCCTTGTGCTACTAAACATGTCTCGATACTCTTTCAAGTTTAGCATCTGGACCATCCCCAAGATTAACGACAAAACCTCCAGCCATGATAATCGTGCATATTTGTTGAACACCAGAACGGAGTGCTGGTGGTGGCGACGACGATTATTAATAAAATATACAAAATATTCAACATCAAAGCTTACCCGGTCTCCTTCTTTACCGGTTTCACCAACTTTACCAGGTTGTCCAGGGAATCCTCTATGTCCTTTAGGTCCAGGTAAACCGGGAATACCAGGTCGTCCAACGGGTCCCTAAGATAGTGAAAATGTGCTGATAAATATTTATTTAAATTCGATTTAAATTTGAAAAAAAGGAATGGATGTTTAGATTTAACATTCCATATCAACAGTGTTATATTTTATGACGGCAATACAAGTTTCAACTGAGAAAAGCTGATAATAACACTAAGTGTGTTGTCAATTGAATATTTTACAAGATGTACTTACAGTAGAACCGATAGATCCTGGGGGGCCCATATCACCGGGTAAACCATCATCTCCCTACATAGAAAAACAAATTGCTTTAATTGCACTAGATTATATTGAATATTAATTTTGGTTTAATTCTTTGCAATGTTCCTGAAGATTTCATAGATTTTTAGATAATCTGCCACATTTACACTAATACATCCACACATCTGATTACTGGATATTAAGTTACTGGTGGATCTGATCTACAGGTCAAACATGACAAAATCTCATCATTCACGTTTTTAATACATATTATGTAAAATCATCCTTTACTTACATCAAGTCCGGGTGGGCCAGGGGGTCCAGGGAAACCTCGTTGTCCGGGAGAACCCTGAAGTATAATATTATTATATAATATATCTATATAATATATAAAAAAGAAAAAGTTTGTTGGTTAGCTTTATTGTTAAAATAATAATCTTATGATTATTTATAATTTATAAAATAAAAAGCTTTATTAATCAAATTTTAAAAACGAATAAAATAAGTTTTAAAAAATGACGGATCAACACTTACGGGTTGTCCGGCATCACCATTTTCTCCTCGTGGGCCTTGGAAACCTTGTGCACCCTAGAATAAAAAATCACCACAGTCAAAGAATAAAAAATATTATCGTAATGCGCAGTGAATAACTGAATAATGCCTTATACAAAAACATAATGATTAAGACTGAATAATATCTGTAAAATATCCTACCACTGAAAACTTATTTTCAGATTATTATACTGTCCAACACCAATACAATTGCCTAACGCGACCCATGTATTGTTGTGTTCTCAGTCTATCTAAACATTACATAGCTTGGTTCTGATTACCTTTCTCTTTCTTCAATAAAAAAATAACATAAATCATTATACAGATAATATGTATATTCAGATCAGAAATTCAATTTACTTTAATTTGTATACTTACTGGTTGTCCTGGGGGTCCGGGGGGTCCCCGTGGTCCGGGTTGACCCTGAAATAAAGAAGGAGAGTCAGAAAACGAAACATAGTCCTATATAAGGTGAATTGTTAAGGCAGTCCAAAAGGTTTGTCGCATTTACAAAAAAACATCCTAAAATTTGTATTGTTATTGTCCTATGATTCCTCGAGTTCAAATCTTATTCCTAATAACTTGGTGGGGGGCAATTCCTTTTGGCCCACTCGGTAGGTTACGGGTTTAATTCCCGCTTTCTCTATAACACATTATCAAGTAACTGAGAAAATACAGCAATTCGAGTTAGGTGATAATATTCGTCTTTGTTTTTATCCGGTATACCGGTACTGTCAATCATGAGGATAACACTGCAACTAGATATCAAAATGTATCGATTAATTGTAAAAAAAATAATTAACAGATAGAAAGTCCGATAAATAATATATCAACTTACAGCTTGATAATAACCAGTCATGGCAGGTCCAGCTTTATTAGCAGCTTGTTGATTCCTAAATCCAGTATCCGCTACAACACCCTACAACGAAAATGATATAATCATTAATATTTACTGATAAAAGCACACGTAATATATCGGGTCATATTTAGATGGAAATAAAAAGAATATGTGAAACATGATTAAATCTGTATTTAAAGAGACATTATGAATTAACCGATTGGTCAAAAAAGTTCAATTTGACGTGAGGTGACTAAAGCCTTATATAAGATATTAATGGTAATTACTGTCAATTTACTAGTTGTCCTACAAATGTGTTAGTAGGTTTCATGATTCAATATTGGTCAGTGCTTAGATTTTCGACATTATTTTCTTAGTGAGGGCGATAATGCCTCTTTAAGACAATCACATCAGTTTTAAGGGGCTGTTTGTGGGAACGGTGGGGTAAAAGCTTATTTTTAGAAGTCAGTAATTTTCAATGATATATCCATGATTAATTATAATATACATTTTAGTAAGAAACTTACACTATCGCCAACAGGTTGTCTTCTAACCTATATAACAGCAAAACAAGAAATAATTATTAAAATCGTGAAGGCCTTTATTTATTTTTCATGCACATAATTGTTAAATATTTCTGAAATTGGTTGTCAAATATTAACCATGTTGTCCACATGTTCAGTATCCTTATGTGTTCCAGATGTCATTTCCTGTTCAAAGGACACGGTGAACCGAGTGGTTTCGGCTAGACTATTTGACAACACAATAATATAAATATATTTTGCATAAATTGACATTTCTATCAAATTTTATACAGTATTAACAGATAGATGGTTATTTATGTCTAACGTTGTAATTAGGCTCCCATAGAGATAGATTTAGACTCTTAGATTTAGTTACGATATGTGAACATATTTCTAATTGAATGTGTATTTCTTTATACGTCTTTTGAAACTATGTTCTAGAATAAAGTGAAAAGATGCTTTTCCCCCTCGAAGAAATTGTCCTTACCTCAGCTTCTACATTATTATTTTCTGAAAACAAAAGAAATTTATATTAATCATCTTGGCTTATGAAACTTAACACTATTTACTGACCATTTTAGATCCAGTTAAAACAAACTTAAGATCCCCAAAACTGGAGCCAATATTTGTGTTCTTTTGAAATCTCTAACTTGACCAATCTATTATGTTTACATTCATATTTTAATGTTTTGATTAAAACACATATCACTCACAGATCAATTAACAAATATGTTTATAGAAATGCCAGATCACGTGGTGGCACGTTGTAAACAAAATCATTAAACTAGTAATATTCCATATTTCATGTTGTAATCAAAATCATTCAATTGTAAATGTATTTCATACAATTCTGTCCTGTATAAAATCATTAGAAATTGGAAAATCCTGATAAAAGAGTTCGTGATAGGCCTAGTCAGGAGCAAGTTCGTGATAGGCCTAGTCAGGAGCAAAGTGTGGGGAACGGATCTATAATCTAATTTCGCAGTGGTCGTTTGGACAAGAATGGTTAGTTTATTATATTGGTGAGAATTTGTTTAGTTCTACAAAACATGCATCTAAAACTAATTTCGTTCTATAAATAATTCTAATCTAAAACTAATCCCGTTCTACAACTAATTTCGTTCTACAACTAATTTTGATTGACAAAAGTTAACAGTTATAGTTCGTCTCACGAAACAAAACTTTTTATCTAGTTCTTCTTGTTCAAGACTCATTCATGTGTGTTTGGTTTACAAGAAACCGCCCAAAGAATCATGATACTGGAATATTCGTGTCGATAGGCCGTAACAAGCATTCATCGGCAACAGGAAATGATACCAGAAAGTAAACCTAGCCATACATGTACAACTATTCTAAGACTATAAGCAATGAAGCTTTGTCCTAGGCATAATACAAGAAACATTCGCCAAATTTTATAAGACATCATATGGTGATGCTGTGTGTTGTTAATCATATTTCTGTATTATTAGTCAATACAGCGAATAGAGAAAGCACATCTATATGATATGCCTATTGTTATAACTTCTAATCTGCGTTCTACGCAAGACTCATTCCGACAAACTTACGTGGGCAAACAGCACAGCACTCTCCAGGGACCTTTACTGGCACAGCGCCGCCTGGGCAAGTGAGCTCTTGGCAGTCTATGTAATCACATTGCCTTTCGCCTTTAACGCATGTACACTGGTAACAGGGGTCCTCCTCCGGAAAGGGCAAAAATATGTCCCCATCATTAGCACCATCACATGTGATCTCATCTAGAAGGTTAGAATGTTGGTAGTTAAAGTTAGTGTTAATATAAATCAAGGATAAGGCTATATAGTAAGTTAAAGTTAATAAATAGATTAAAAGGGAGATCCAAGATGATCAATTATATTATTAATTACTATTAAAAGTGAAAGTGCTTTTTTAAACAATAAAAGTAAAATCAGTATATGTTTTGTTATTTTTAAATGCATGCTGTTAAATTGGCATTTTCCAAAGAATAAACACAGTGGCATCATTCTATCAGCCCGGATAGAGCAGAAAAGTAGGACCTTAAATCCCATTTCATTCTATCATGTTCTATTCTATTCAGTATATTAAATTAATGGCTTCAGCTTATCACATTCTATATTAATCAGTGAATTAAATTAATTATTTTATCATATTCTGTTCATAAAATTATATTTTGTCGTATTTTTGTAACTTGACATTGTAAAAGACAGTAGTCGAAATGCTCAACAATACATAGAACAAAATGAATATGGTACAGATAATGTCAACTGTGGTAGGAAATCAAGTTGTTGTCTACGTAAACCCAGTACTAGACGTCATCTCTTTAAGATGTACCATCTGGCAAATGATAACAGGCGTTCCAAGAACAGTAAGCATACCCCGTATTGGACACGACACCAGTCGTAATTTGTTGTTAAGAGACTCAATGCATTTTAGAGAGGTGAGGTTTTATAGCTGGGGATTATTGTTCTAAGTAATTGTCTTAAGTTACGAAACTTTGTAGGTGACATGCTGCTTTACATTTTAAGGGTTGAAAGACGCTGAAACTAAATATGTTCTAGTACAAATTTAAATGTACTAGAGTTACAGAAAACTAATTATAAACTGATGTGTCCATGGATATCATTGACTGACGTATTTATTTCTAACATATGTAATAAAGTACACGATCACGTTAGCGTAACCTTTTATTAATTAACTGCTTATTTGGATTTCAAATTTGAAATCAAATTCTACAGGCCAATATTAAAGGAAGTGCAAGTAATGAAATTCTACAGTCCAATATCAAATGAAGTGCAAGGCCATAATAATAATGGGTAAGGGCGACTTAAGTTGTATTTCTATCAGTGGTTGTGGCTTCATACTAAATTGCTGACGTTAGCTTTAAGGAACTATTTTAAAGCAAAATTCAAAGTCAAATTAATTGTATTCACAGCGTCAACTGTTTTGTCTTTATACATGAAGGAGGGGCAACACTGAGGCGTGGAAGGAGGAGGGGCTTAACTGTCGTTTAGAATGATGTCAACGAGCATGATGTATAGCCAAGTTCTGCAAATAGGTTTATTTATTAAACTTTAGATTCCCTTACTATTACGGTTCTAACGCGTTAATTAATAAATAGGTTATGCACACTAACCATTAACTTTGACTTTTTATGAATAAGTAATATAACATGATCTTGATAGAATTTTTAAAATAAAAAGCTTAATAAAAAAAAAGGTTCCAATTTTAGCAAGTTTTAAATATCAAAAGAAATTGAATTTAAAATCTATAAGACTTGAAGCGTACAAGAGAATTATTAAAATATAAGTGAACCATGTGTTAGTCCTGAATGACCTAGTTTGTGTAGAGCTGACGTTAAACCTCAACTTCTCTTATTCGTTAATCAAAGTTTTGCTAGAAATATAATTCAAGGGTTGTCGAAGAGACCCGAGATATAAAATCTGAATGGAAAGTTTTAAGTTTATTTCCCACAAGAAACACATACGTGAAAAACTGCTTGCCACGTATTGCAACGTTCCTTGTGTGTGTGTGCTATACCATTTAACCCCATGACACTTGAACTGAGACCTTTGACCAGGTCACGTGACTATTACCAGGAACATTTCTGCAGACTTGGTAAAATTCACTCTGGACAAGTTTGTTAGTAAACACGTAATTCTATTATAATATTTGACATTCACGCCAACAATTCACGAGAAACTTTATGGAAAATTTTCAGATTTAAATCCGATTTATAGAAAAATGGAAATTAGAAATAACCATCTTAGTGGAATGGAATATTATTCTTTTCCACAGAAACAAATATGATTATGCCAAAGCAACCGTGGATAGTATTTGCAGCCCCAAAAGGGCCGATTTTAGAGAAAGTCATAATATTAGAGAAAGGTTATTGTAGAATTAAAAGTAGTCAAAATCGAATAAAATGCGTCTAATAAATTGACGTTTTGGATATTTTAACGTCAAAAAGGTGTGATAAATGAATATACACCTGGCATGCCATATTAATATGACCGCTATTTTACTACCATGGTACATTTATAATGTGCTCACATTAGGAAACTGGCGTCTTAAAGTGCTGTAATACATGCAACATGCAATGTCAAATGGTGAACTCCTATTATTATTATTATTAGTGTAAATTAATCATGTTATAATTGTTATACTTAAATATTAATTAATATGCATTCACTTACCTTGAGCAGTTGCTAGGGCAACTAGTGCCAAACATCCTAAAAGCACCTCTCTCAACATCTCTTCACTTTTTCAGTTTGACCAACGGTCAAGAAAACATCCGAGTTAATAAAAGTAAAATAAATGTTTTCTCTAATTACTTTTGGAAGCCTGTTTCTAGGCCCCACTTACTAGGAAGAGCCGTGCTACCGCTTTATTTTAAGCGTAACAACGGATTCCTAGGGTATACGTGTTATTGTCTGACAATCTATAATGCCAACACGAGTCTAATATCGCCAACACATTTTATATCCCTTGCATAAAAAATGGACCAATCGTAGCTGGCAGAAGACGGCAGCAGAGTCTTGGAGACGAGGTCTACCGACTCTCTCGATGCACGATACGAGCCATGAAATACAATACCCCTCTACGTTGAAGCTAGCAAATTTTTAGCAAAATCAACTTTATTTTTGTTAATATTTGACAAACTTGTCAAGCTTTCAATTAAAATCTTGCATCCATAGAAAGTATAATTAATTATGCTAACGTTTAAATGGTAATAATTAGTTCAAAAATTGATAATCGATGCCCTTGCATATAATTTTGGTGTAGCGGGTTGGTGATGATTTATTTATTTTTCTCAATTGTTTTCATTATCTTTTAAAGGTTTCTTAATATAAGTATTTTGATACTGATGTTATGTTTCATTAGATTAAAAATCAAATTACTTCCCGAATTTGATTGCAAATTATTAGCCTAGAATTGCAATTTAAAAATGATCATTAGGTTTCAATATTAATTCGATCATAAATTAAATCTTTAAAAATTTTCCCATGGATTCTTTTCATCATTATGTACATTATTATTGAAAATTTCTATGTGAAAAAATGGGTCTAATTTAGCGTTTTCTTTCCAAAAAAATTATAAAAATTTCAACGCTCGTGGTTAAAAGAGCATGATAAAAATCTACAAATCTTGGTTTCTCATTTTCTTTAGATGAGAAACAATTGATTCATACTTTATTATTTACTTTTCGAAATGATTTAAAAAACATATGGTTATTTATTGTCGCGCATATACCGCGATTCAGACATGGCCATTTTAGAAATGTTTCATTTATCGGGTAGTTTTGCCGAGTAATGGTCTAACTGCAGGAATATGGGTCAAGTCTGTTAAGCATCTTGTTAAATTTACGGGTTGACCTCACAGGTTATGGCTTCTTACAAAACCACCCTCGTGTTCTAAAAATGGGGAATTATTCTCATCTCATGTCAAATATGGCTACAAATGTACTTATTTGGCTTATATTTAGGCTAAAAAAAAATAATAATCGGGACGTCTTGCAGTTACGTTTGAGTAGTGACGACAAAATAATAATCAAAACCTGAAATATCTATGGCATTGTTGGAACACGCTGACAGGAATAAAAATGCTGTTTCAAATGCTGAATAAACAGAAAATACCATATGTCTGGATTGTTGCAATTGTGACTTGGTACTTTCTAAAGAAAATGTTATGGCTAGAATTAGATGCAACAGGTGTCGGTTTATTCCCTAATTATTTGATTATTCTTTCTTTCAGAAATTTTAGCAAAAATTTCAAATAGAAACACAGATCTCAAATTGATCAAAATAAGTACAATATAGCGTTTTGGACATTACAATTGTTTATTACTAAATTTTAGATAACGAAATGGTAACGTTCCATGAGTTAAAAAAAATATATATATATATATATATATATATATTATACAATGGGGAAAACCATCATGTCCCTTACATCGCATCGTACTTTTTTTTTATCTATACAGCTGTTAACAATCAAAGGAACCTAGAGTTTTACGGGTTCTCAGGCATACTCTTTCTTCCAAAACACAAATATATATGATCACAAAAGATAAGACATCAAGAGCTGAAAAATGATGAATGTTCATATTCCTATGTTTCCACTACATTCTGTTTCGTTAAGTTTGTTTCCCCGACCAACTTTATGAAAATAGCCCGCAGGTAATGAATCCCAATCCGTTACATTTAAAATGTATCCAAATTTGGATAAAACAAAACTTTGGGTTGAGATCTAATGATTAATAAAATTGTGACACTAAGTAATATTTCAAAATGTTGATCTGCTAGTTAGGCGCTGGCTCACTAATGAGGGGCCGAAAAAGTCCCCCCCCCCCCCCGGATTTTCCAGTTTGCTTTCATTTTGTCAGTAATATACGATGAGGACTGACTAAGAACAACGTCTAGTTTTCGGAAGAAACGATCCCCCACCAGCACCCTCCGAGTTCCGTCTAATGAGATACTGCGTGCGGCAATTTTAAGCCAAGACATACGTGTGGAAGGTTTTATGGATATATACGTTGTATTTTCGCAATCAATGAAATTTCATCCATAAACAAAACATTGTATTGTAGAAGAGGGAAGTGTGGTTTTACGTCCACTCGACAGAAACGAGGCCATACATTTGAGAATAACATTATATTGTATCCATGTATTTTATTTTAATACTCAACTTGTGCTCAGTGGCAGGGCTGGATTAACTATAAAGCCAAATAAGCACGTGCTTGGGGCATCACGAGAATGGGGGCACCAAAGAATGTCTGCATGCTTCGTTATTTTTTTTAAAAAAATATATATTTCTTTGAAAATTAATTCAGAGATGGGAGAAAAAAACCGAGGTCCCAAGAGTTCGGCGAAACGTCATTGTTTGGTAAAAAATTCTCGACCCCCACCTTCCACACTTAGCCATGTAAATAAAATTACTTTTATCTGGGCTTTGCTAGCGTTTCTACCAAGAATCTATATCCGGGCAATGATAGGGACCAAGTCTGATCAAATCCGGAATCGTTTAATCCAGAAATCAATTTCCTAACCGGTAGACTAAAATGTTCGAGGTTCGAATCTTATTTTGCCTATAATCGGAAAAATGGAATGCCGGACGTGTAAATTGTTGACGTGTATGTAAAAAGACCCTTAACTGTTAGAATTCGACGATTTGTTCCTTCGTTCGTGGGAATTAATTTGATAAAAAAAAACTTGTCAAAAAAATAAATAAATAATTATTTAAGAGAGATTGCTTGTTGTGGCGACACCAGTTAATGTCCTCTGACGTTGCAGTGTAGTGACGCAATATTATGGGAGCAATTTTATAAAAATAACCTTGGAAACCAATGTTTTCTTTGGCTGGAGTGTTCGATACAAAATAAGTTTTAAATACTAACTCAACAGGTGATTAAAAGTATGCCCTTTAGTGATCTTTCTGGATCGAGTTCTGAAATAATGCTTACTTAGATAATTCTTTGTTTACATGAGCTGATTTTAAGGAATACAATAAGTAATCTGAAATGTCCTCGGAATGTCTTCTGTTTCGGAAAATCATCGACAATAATCGGGGCCTTATCTCCCATAACTCGCAAAACAGCGAGGCGATGAGTCAAACGATCGGATTACTCAATAAATGACCCTTTTTTTTTAGCTTCTTGACCACAAAAGTTGTTTCAGATTCGGTGTCACAATTCTCCCCACTGTGTTTAGTCTAGATGGTCAGTTCGTGTGATTAATCTACGATTTATTTTTTTCCCCGATCTTGGTTTCTTCTGGGTCCATTATTAGTATTGTGTTCTGGTTGTATTTAGCAATAACGGGGTAACGTACGTAATTATTCTCACTTATAAAATGTGATACTACCTTCCATTAAATATACTTAAATCTTAACAGGAATTGGACGATGCTCACTAAATCAGAACTGTTCGATTATTTTATGTTTTGCAATTGGAAATCTTTTGATTTAAAACATCGAAAATTTTTCAACATGCATCGAAAACTAAAGATAATGGGTACCTTTGTTGTAAATATTTATAAAGACTTTTTGAAAAGGCTTTAAGGCCCAGGTTCGGACATTATAGATTACTTTTGTTTGTAAAGATCTAAACTGACCGACATTTTGATCAGTCATGTTTGACCATTAGCTTTCCTTCTTGACCCTGAATACATAGTAAAGATAAGAGTTCGAGTCTGGCATCTGTAGGGTCATTCCAGATATACAAGCGGGAACTGTGTTTATAGGCCAGATTTTAATGTAAATAACCCAGACCTTCGTTACCAGATTAAACTTGGTTTATTTTTCAGGTTTAAAGATGCCGTAAAAAACCTTAATTGGATAGGTTAATGAACTTTATCCGACAGCGTTTGCAATATTCATATATAGGCTAATAATCGAGTTATTTGTCATCGAAGATTATCTTGGTCAGAAAAGTGAAAATCAGTCGCTCCATAGAAAAACACATTCTGGATTAAGAACTTCTTAAGCAGTTGACAAAAGCATTCTGTTGGAATTATGAAATAAAACAATCCTCAACCCGATGACCTTAGATGATATGTCTACTATAGAATCTGGAAAGGGTCATGTTAATGGTAGTATTTATCCCACACTAGGCTTAAATTCTAACAACTTCTTTAATATTTTAGCTAATGAACTTATGCATTGTCTTATTAGACAACAATAACTTTAACCAACCACAGTGGTTAAACGAATTAATTAAGAATATGTTAGATACAATTGCCAATATTAAACTTTATTTAGAGATGGGTGGGTTAGATCTTTTAATATTATTTATTAATAATTAAATTGTTGGGGTTAGTAGGGGCGTTTTTTTTTAAAATTCGATTTTACTTATTTCTTATTTTTATTTTCCGCTGTCTAAATTATACCATGTGGTCGAAGATATTAGTGTAATATACAAAAATAATAAAACATTATTATAACAACATTGTCTTTTAGAATACTTCTGTACTATGAAACCTTAGAAGGGCTATTTGATATTTTCTTGTAATGTCATGATAGTCAAAACAGATGAAAAAGTAGGGCAGTTTAGGACAAAGGCTTTATTGTGAAAGGGTCAGTAACCTAGCAACATATAATTATTTATAATTGTGTGGCCATTATTAATATGTATGTTTGGTAAAAGTATTTCCATTGTTAGCCTACCTACTATAATTATATCTTTTATTAGTGGGAACTGTTAAGTAAAAGTCCTGCTATTTAGCCGAAATTCTGCTACGATGTACATCATGTAGTGCTTAAACTAAAACAAACACATCTTAAGAAAACTCGAGAGAGTTAGCGAGAGAGAGAGAGAGGGGGGGGGGGTAACTTCTACCGAAAAAGAGTAACAACATATCCCTGTTTCGATGGGTATGTGCACAATGGCGGGAGACTGGAGATGGGACGTTTAACTTTGCCAGAATATCTTCTACATGCATAACTAATTTATAAAAGGGTGTTCG